GTATAGAGGGCACCTTTTGGGGTCTCAGATGCCTAGAAACTGTGAGCATTTATAAAGGTTTTATTTTGAGTAGCCCCTGCCTGGAGTCAAAATGGCTCTGCTTCAAGTCACCAGATCGTACAGGACGGTGTCCATAGTATCTCCAAGTGAAAATAGAAGAAGATCGTAGGAGTTGGAAAAGGATTATCTGGGAGGATACAGTAGAAGAGTGGAACTGGGGGTGGTTGACAACTCCAAAAGGAGCAACCCTGAGAAAGTATTTTCCCACCATCGCATCGCGACTAGAAGCAACTTGGGTCCTCCCGGACTACTACACCTCTCTCCCTTTCTGAATATCATCATTTTAAACTCTTCCCGATTAAATGTAAATTCCATTAATCACAATAGTTTTATAAATCTATAATCATAAGTTGAAGTCTATCTGCCATAAAAGCAATGAAGGCTTAAGTACACACTATCCTAATGATATGACATTCACTCCTCCTGCAACACAATCCTCTATATCATTAATGTACCCACTGAAAAGAAATATACTAACATTAAATTGGTTATTTGTGAAATGACAAATGTGCTATTTTTAAGATACAAATGTATGGATAAACAATCAATCTTTACATTAGTTATGTAATGTGTTTTCTGTTACTAAAAGATGCTTCTGCGAATAATGCACCCTGAACAGCTCTCAACTCAAAAGTGGTATAAATGTGTCATTTTTTAAAATAACCTATTCAATTATTCCCTAATAGAGAGAAACACTTTATTTTCATAAAATATAAAATATAAAGGATTGCTGCCCAATTACATTGGGTTGCTATACACACAGCATACTCTTCTATCCTTAAGACAATATATGAACTTATATATAAATATACAGAAGTATTAGTTAATATTAGTAAAACAGAAATATATATATATATACATTTTTATTATTTTATTTATCCTTATAATTTTTTTTTTTTTTTTTTTTCCTTTTTCCCTCTTCTCATTGTTCATGCTTTTTTTTTTTTTTTTTTTTTTTTTTTTATTTAACATTAAGTTTCCCTTTCTCTCACTTCTCTCTCTTTATCGCTATTGTTTTCAATTATTCACTAAAAAAATAAATAATCAAATACATAAATTAAAACTCTCGGGCTAGCCATGCACGTGGTGGTGAATGATTCCCAGGGAGTCGAGGACTATATTTTCAGCCAACCTCGCTACGTCCTTAATGTCGACACCTAGTTCCTCGAGGAAGCTCCTTGTTCTTTTTGGGATAGTTCCGCGAGACCCAAACCAGAGGCCTCTCACGGTGAACTCTCTCTCTCCGAAGGTCTCACGGAATTTCTCTTTTAGGAAAGGGATACATTTATCGTACGTGTTCTTCTTTTCCCTTTCCACTTCACCCGCCTGATCGAGGTCATTGCTCTCAAAGCGGACAGTTGGATCCAAGATCAGCGCTGTCCTTCCTGTCTTGGGAAATGCGACGATATCAGCGTATCTCGTAGAGCCCTCACTATCGATGCAATATACCTCGTCAAAGCAGGTGAATTTTTTTTCCCTAAGGAGCCTCATCAATTCGAACTTGACCCGGTGGTGACGACGTGTTATGAGGAGGGAGTTGTTGGGGCATTTTCCCAGCACATGTGCTGGTGTTTCAGACTCTCTGCCGCATTTACGGCAGAGGGACCCAACTTCTCTGACCTGTCCGCTGACTCCTGGGACTCCACGCAGGGGTGCATAATTAATGTTTAGTTTTAGGGCATTCGACCATTCAGACCCAGAAAGTACTTGCTTTTCGTAGATGTATCTATTCGCTTTCGGGGTCTCTTTAAAATGGCGAACACCAATACCCTGCCACCTGCAGTTGGCCCATTCCTCAAATGCATTTTCTCGTAGCGACTGCCGTAGAGCTTTCACATTTCGATGACCCTGATCAACCCCCAATCTCTCGGCACATTCAGCAATTTCAGCCGAATAATCGAAGGTAGACTGAAAAAGGGCATCTGGTACATTGGACAGTCGCTGAGCAATGGACCAATGTTGAAGAGGAGCCTCCCATTGGCAGCGGATTAATCCCAATCCTCGGTATCTCCTGGGGGCATACAACATCGCTGTGGAAGTATTCGCAGGCAGTCCAATAATGGCCTTTACGCTCCTGCGAATCATAGTGTCGATGCCCTCCAGTATAGCAGGACGTAGCTTTGTTAGGGGCGCAGTTTGGAGAGGGTAAGTAAGACCCGGGAACAGATATTGATTGACAATGTTGAGTTTCTGCTCAGGTTTAAGTAAGCAAGAGGTTACCAGCTTGTTTAGATTATCATTCAATTTAGTCACCGAATCTTCGTTGAATTGCAGCTCTCCCGAGAATGTACATCCTAAATACTTAATCGTATCTCCATTCTTCAATGTTTGGATGTACTCACCATTCTCAAGGGAGAGCACCGTAGTTTCCAGCTCTCCTTTATTTATAACGATGCCCATACTTTTTAGAGGATTTATAGCCAGACCAATTTCTTTAAATGTTCTTTGTATGCTGTCAATCACTCTTTCTGCAGCCCCCTTGTCACGCGCCGACACTGCCTGGTCATCCGCGAAACCTGTGAGGACCACACAATCTTGCTCATTCCTTAATTTGTATCCAAATTTCTTGGAAAAGTCCTCGTCACACAGGTCGCGGTAGAGATGATCGATGGCCAGGTTGAAGAGTGAAGACGACAGGGGGCCACCTTGGGGTACACCGCGCAGCACTTTGATCTGGCTAGTTGCATGGACACCGTTGCCAATCTTTATGGTGTTCGTGCTAAGGAGAGCTGATATGACATTTGTAAGATTCGGTGACACACCTCTCGCTTCTAAGGAGCTTACGATGTGTTTGTGCCCAACATTGTCAAAAGCACCGACAACGTCGAGGAAAACTATCGCACAGTCATTTTTCATTTTTTGTGCATCTTTTAATACCGCGTCGATGATCCTCGCGTTGACGTGCGTTCCCGGGAGGCCTTTTATAAAGCCTCTCTGACTCTTGTGGAAGGTGACCTGCTTTCTTAACTCGTAGTCCAGAACCTTCTCTATGATTCGGCGCACAATCGAGTATATGGTGATCGGTCTCCAGGTAGAGATATTGTTTATATCACCTTTGCCCTTATATATCAATATTGTGCGCCCTTGTCGAAGTGGTTCCGGAACATAGGCCACCTTCAGCATTATCTCTGCAATCGTTTTAATAATGCTTGATACCTCAAAATATTTTATTGTGCGGATCAGAACTCCATCAGGCCCCGGCGATGTGTCCATTGATGTTGATTTAATGGCTTTCCTGATGGCTTCTATCTCAATGGACAGCAAATCCGGCATCGGGGTACACTGTTCGTAATCCGCACGCCCGCAGAGATTTTCGTTCTCAAAGAGGTCTTTATAATGCCTCTCGATATCGGCCATTTTTAGAGGACACCGTTTAGGAGCGTCGGCATTCATTACAGTTTGCACAACCTTTTTTCTTTTATTATAATAATTATATTGGGCAACCTCGTACTGATACTGCTCTTGCCGACGACTCCTGTCTACTTTGTTTGCCCTCTGCGGATTTGAGACTTGTCCAGCACCCTTGTCAGCCATTTTCATTTTATTTTTTTTCCTCATCCTATAAAATTTTACGGCTGGGTGCTGGGGACCTGGCAGTTCCGCATTAATGACTTTGAGGAACTTTAGGAACTTGCCTACGGCCTCATCAAAATCCGCAGTATTCACCATTTCTTGCTTTAAAAGGTTCTTGAACGTAGTAGACCATTCAACAATGTCCTCTTTTATTTTTGATGACTCACCCTCTCCATTTCTAGGACCTATCACGTTCTTTACTATGCCCCTCAATGTATTATTATTCGCCTCCCTGGGATGTTTTTTTGCAATGTGGGTTCCGAGACCTCGTTCGCCCTTAAAAGAAAGCCCGCATATCGGACAAACTTTATCATCAGGGCGTAGAGCTTCATTTTGCCGCTCACTAAGTACCTCTGCGACATTCAGCGGATCATTTGGCAATCTGGGAAAGACATCATCTATCGACACCGTCTTTCCCAATACCACACCTTCTGTGTCAGGCCATTCCACTTTAACAAATTTATTATCTCCGCCTCCTGCAGTAGCCACAGACATCACAGAGGCAACAACCGCCTCTTGAACAGGTCCTCCAGTTCTCAGAACCCATACCTTTTGTCCAACTTCGATCTTCTTCGTTGGTATTTTGTTCATTGCAATATTTTTTTTTTCGTTCTAAACTATGCCCACCACGCGCATGATTGAAACAATCTGTGCATAATTAAATAAATAAATAAATACAAAGTTAAAAACTATAAAATTAAGTGTTAAATAGTGTTATAGTTAAAATATAAAATCGATAAAAGCTTAAAAAAAAAATATACATCTATCAAATAAATTGCTTATAAATATGTTACAATATAAAATCAGTAAAAAGTTTAAAGTTAAAATTTAAGTACAAGTTAAAAATAAGTGAAAGTTAAAATCTAAAAAAGTTAAAATCTAAGAAAGTTAAAAAGTTAAAATCTAAAAAAAAGTTAAAAAGTCAAAGTCTAAAAAGGTTAAAATCTAAAAAGGTTAAAATCTATAAAATAATTTCCTAAAATGAGTTAAAATGTAAAATCAATTAACTGTTAAAACGTTAGAATCTAAAAGAATAAATAAATAAAACAATAAAAATAGTAATTGCCTAAATCAGTTAAAAATCAAAAGATAAAAATTTAAGTAGTTATAATCTAAAAAAAAACAATATACAAACCTATCCACATCACATTATCAAACCTAATATATAAAATAAATTACAAAATATAGGATCATTAAATACTTTTAAAAAAAGAAAAAATTCAGTTCAGCAATAGTAAAAAAAAAAAAAAAAAAAAAAAAATGTCCACTTTAAAATATTCTATTCATAATCAAAATTATGAAACTGATTGTAATGGCAATGGAATATGGAGGTTACTAAAATGGCTTAGAAGGTTAGGTGTAATTCTTTGTTTTGTTAATTCAGGTGTTATATTTGAATTTCTAGGTATCGTTACTTTTGCATCATTTTAAGTGAATAAAACATTAATAAGGGTTATATATGGTTGGAGTTTAAAGCCGAAGTTACCTATGACTCCATTTATTCAGTGATGATGACTTTTATGTATGTTTGGTGTTGTTGCATTTTGTTATTACGTCCTACGTCTTTGAAACGTAGTCAATATTTATCTTCGTGATGTTATTTTATTTTTTTACAAATGAGTGGAAAGATGAATGAAAATGCTAACCATCAGGTTTTCAAACAAGAAGATGGTTGATACCTGAAGCTTTTATCACCATAATGATGATTAATAATTATGATAATTAATGCTGCAGGAAATTATTTCAGTAGGTGTCTTTATTTAGTGTAATCAAATAAAACTGGCGTCTTTAACTGATCGTGTTCTTGATGGTAGTGGTTGCCCTGTGCAGCCTACCAATGAACCACTACCTCCTAAACGTCAGGCAGTAGTTGAGCGTTTAAGAAGACGAATTGAAGGTTATCGTCGTCACCAAAATAACTGTATACCAAGGTTTGATCACTCTTTCAATGGTGTTGTTGAACAAAATTTGCAAGATACCCTTGTGCTCAAGCAGCGATTTCTTGAAAATAAGCCCAAAAGGCCAGTTAAAAAATCAGAAAAGAAGCCTGCTGAAAATTCAATGCCCAATAATATATCATTGGCAAAATTTCCTAAATGCAGTGCTCCAGATGATAACAATGATAATTTTGCAGATGCCTCTAAATCACAACAAAAACATGAAAATATGACCAAATTTTCTGTTGAAATAGTTCAGCAATTAGAATTCACTACAACTTCTACTAATTCTCAAATTTCAACAAATGTAACTGTCAAAGCTCTTAATACATCAGTTAAAGGTGATGTCCCTAATTCTCCTCAGTCTCCTAGAAATTTGAATATTATTGAATGTAAGCAAGAACCAGAGAACATCGAATTTGTTGACTTGGAGCAATGTGCTGCGGCATTAGAAAAAGATGCTGCTGCTAATGGAGGTAACTCATTTCCAGGACTTTCAGACCTTATAGGTGATGATACAAATGATGCCATTAGTTCTGATGCTTTTAAAGATCTTATTTCTGAAATATCTGAATATAATCCAGAATTCATGAAAGATTTTGATTTTGATGGAGGTGAATCAAAAAGAAATGAAGAACAACAGAAGATGGATTTATTGAAAAATCAACCTCAGGTATCGGGAGCCAATGTACAAACTGTATTGAGTCAACAGCGATTGTGTGGAAGTAATCTTGAAATGGCTAAACCTGAGCTAAGCCCGGCAGCTCAGACATTAAAAAATATGGCTGAGCAGCACCAACACAAAGCACAAATGGGAATTGGTTTTAATCCTCGCATTAATCAAAAACCTTATGAGTTTCAATACAGTGGAACAACTGAATTTATTAATCAACCTGTTAATCAAACCAATTTTAAAGTATCTTCTTCATATCCTACTGATGGGATTAAACAAGAGAGTTTTTCTGCTCAAAATTCACCTGTAGCTTATACTGGTAGTCCTAGTGGTAAAACACCCTCACCTCAACGAATTAATAATCAATATAAACAGGTTTATCAATTCACTGGTCAAATGAGTCCTCAACCTCAGTATAGACCCCAACAACCTGTAAAATTAGACTATTCAAAAAATCAACTATCACATCAGTCAATGATTACCTTTTCACAAGCTGGTATGTTGCAGCCTATGCCTCCTTCAGGTCCAATGTTGCGGGCACCTCAGCCTCAGTATTTGCCTAGATATAACCTATCAATTCCCAGAGCTAGTTATACTAAAGCCCCCCGTCTTCCTCAGCAAGAACCAACATGGATGATTCAGAGACCTCAACAAGATTTTATTTCAGAGGCTCATATTAATCAGTTGCAAATGTCACGTATGCAGCAACAGATCCAAATGAATCAAGTTCGTGTTCATCAGAGTATGTCAGCACTTAGCCGCTCTGGTACAGTACCATTTTCTTCAGCCTACACCAATACAAATACTAATTATGCTCAGTCAAATTTCAATATGCATCAGAATTTTACTCAGCAGAACTCGCTTGCTCCAGAATTTAGTCTTGATTTTCTAGAACAACTACCTCATTCTGATGCAACAAATTTTTCCGATCAGGAACTTTTTAGTTCTCTTGATACTGGAACAAATTTCAACTTTGACATTTTGTAACATTATATAAGCTGTCAATTGTTATTATTAAGTTGTTCTCTACATTGGATACTGGTTAATTCCTTCTTTTTATTGTTCTCAGATTTAAAGTAAATATGTGTTTGAACTCATACAAACACATTTATAATTTTTTATTGAATTATTATAAATATATATATATCAAATGTATATAATGTATAGAGTTTATTTTTATATTTGTTTTAAAATGTGTTCTCACGCTTAGGTATGTTCCAAACAGATCCTTAAGCACTTTCATTTCTTGGGGTTTAGTTTAGTTTTGTAATAACTATTGTATAATTGTTTGGGGAAAATATTTTGTTTCCAATAAGAAGCCATTTTTTTCTAAGGGATCAAATTTTTAATTTAATTTAATGTTTTGTTTATTTTTATTAGGCTATAGTTTTATCAGTTTGAATACCATGCAGTAATATTTTTTGTTCATTAGTGACTCCTCATGTTACCATTCTATTATTTTCTTTATAATAGAACTCTATTCAAAAATTGTAAAGAAGATTGATTTGGCGATTCAGTGACAGGAAAGGAGAAGTGCCAGGAAAAATAAAAGTAAGTTCATTGTCTAGTTTTTATGATATTTATAACTTTATTTTTAAAATATTTCATAGCTATTTTTTATTTTCTGGTATTCATAAATGGTACATGCAGCTTTCTAACATAAATGGTCAAGAACTGCTTTTATAAGTTTATCTATCAATGATTTTATCATTGAGTTTATATAGCGACTTTGGGGGTAAAGTTATTATTTTACATTTGTTCTCAGTGCCATCTTCATTGGAAGGTGTGAAATGCTAAATTCTAATCTATTTTATTTGAAAATCGAGTTACAGTGGTTATTATCACAGGTTTTTACTTTCATAAAGAAGATTCTAAATCTTGTTAAACTTATCCCTTAATATATATATATATATATAAAATGTATGTATGTATGTTTAAAATCAATATTGACAAAAAGAAAACTCATTAAGTTTTTATCAGTGTTTGCTCTTTTCTGAACAGTTTCATTTTATGAATGTAGAGTTAGTAGTTCATGCCTTCATTTGGTCATTGAAATAGCAATAACAGAACAGATATTTAATCACTTTGTTGGTGACCATTTTGTTTTCATATTTGTATTGCTTTTTTATACTTAATTTCTTCATTCAATAACAATTTTTTAATATATTTAAATTATTGATAATTATAATAATATAAAGATCTGAATGGTTGTGCATAGTTTCCTCTCTTGAATGATTTATATATCTTGTGCTTTGGTCATTATCAGTTTTCCATGACCATGTGTTGCAATTGTGTCACTGATCTACTTACATGTTAAGTGGTATACGTGGTATTATACTATCTTCTCTTATCCAGATTCTTTTCTGTTTCATTAAATTCACTTATACTTTTGTCCTGTACCTACTGCATATTTCTTTTAATTTCATATGATTTCAAATATTTTTTTCTAGTACCTTTTCATTAATTTATTAGCAAATGACTTAATTCTATAGAAATTCCTTCTTTGTTCTATTATAATTTTGTAATAAAGTTTATTTGTAGTTTATGTATGAGAAGCATCAGATCTTATTAAAACATGCCTGATAACAATAATTTGTCACATAAAACTTTTTTTTTAGTGCCTATTGGATAAAATATTTAATGGATAATTATTTATAATCAACCAAAAAATTGTGCTATAATATAAACTCCTAGACCTGATTTTCTTACTCTTGCTAAATGTTTAGTATTTATATTTTTCTATTCTAGTTGAAAGTTGCTGTATAGTTGTGAGAAGAAACTTTATACCAGAAACCAGGGACCATGAAATGATTGGCATTTAGAAAGATAATTTTATAAAGATATAAACATTATATTTTGATATTTACAAATGGAATTTTGTTTTGTAAAAATATCTGTTGTTTATATTCATTTTTGTTTATAAGTTTATATTTGTATATAGAAAGAGGATATATTGTGATTTATTATAGAAAAAAAATCTGTTAAAATTTTTTTATTTACAAAATAAACATGTATAAGAATAATATAAATATACAATCTGTCGTTATATATTTCTTATTTACATTTTCTTTATAAAAATAACCCTATATAACATGAATACAGTAATAACAGTAATCTTTGGTGTCCATAAATACATTTGTTGTTAAAATTCATACTGTATCAAAACTGTTTAAGCATAACTACAAATACTGTTTTTTTTCTATGTTCTTTCAAAATAATATTTAAAAAAATAATTTAGGTACATGGAATGTCCATTAATCATTATGAAAGAGCATTTATTTCGACTTGCTATGAAAACTAATGTACAGATAGATAACTAAGAAGGTTTTGATTTTGTTTTGATATTAACGAAATAACTTGTCCTAACAAATAAAATATGCATGAGCCCGTAATTGAGCTAATATGTTTCACTGGCCTTATAAAAGGTGAGGGAGAAAAACAGGTAAGGCCCTTTTTTATTTTTTAAATGAGTTATTGTTATAAATGGATTCAAACTGAAAATGCATTCTTTCAGGTAGTGGGAATGTTAAAAATAAATTCAGTAGACAAGATTTAATGTTTTTTTTCCCCTTATTCCAACTTTTTTGAAGATAGTAGGTTTTCATTCTTAATTTATTGATACCAGTTGCTCAATGTAGAAAAAAAGTAACGTACCTGTTTTTTTTATTTAGAGGTTAAAATAAAAAAAAAAAGTTTTCCATGTCTATAAAACAGAAGAGCTTTTCAGGGTATGCCAACTATTTCCATCTATTATTTAAATCTGATCTAAAGACTTATAAATTTTGGAATGCGAACTTAATTGTATTTTTCCCATTCACTACTGAGCATTTTTGTGGGTAGCAGCTGGGCAGATATTAATGGACACAGAAATGGTTAATTTTATTGATGAATATTTTATTTATGTTACATTAAATTTTCATTTAAAAGTTTAAGAGAACAGGAAATGTGTTTTTAATGCTGGGATGTTTACGCACTTAGTTACTAGTAGAATTCAATTCTTTTAATTTTTCAATTATATTAGATTTTCTTGTGTTAACAAATGCCTTTTTATACCAAAATAAACACAGAACAAGTGTTGCTTATTTTTTAATGCTTTGTTAATTTCAAGATGAAATTTAATCATTAGTTAATGGTTGGATCATAAAGATCTAAAATCGCATTGATTTGGTGATAATAATTTTTTTATTTTTTCCAATCTCTAATTTACAATTTTTTTTTATCTTCCAAGACATTGACGTAAGAGATATACAGTCTATTGATTAAACTTAGAAATAATAATAATAATATTTGGAAGGGCACATTTTTTTATAATTTTTAAATGGTTTTAATCAGGATCTGAAGTTTTGGATATCATGTGATCTGTTGCTTTTTTACATTCTTAAATGGTAAATTTGCTGCATAAGGTTGTAGATTTTTTTTGAGCTTATTTGACAAATGTAAAAATGGCTATATCAGATGAGCTTTATTTATAATGTCATCAAAGTGTTTTGGAAGGGGCCTGAAGGAGGGTAACTTAGTTTACTGAATGTATCTGAGTGCATTGTATGTAGAATAGTGTGGTTCAAGAACAAGAAATTAATGGTATAGAAGAAATGACAAGAACAATATATATGCCAAGAGTAATATATATGATCGAATAAGTGAAAGCCAAGATCAATCAATATATGTGGTTATGGAGGATTACTACTGAATCTAAAATCATAGGTTTTGCCATGGTCTGCATCTACTCCCTTCCAAAATTAAGCCTCTGCTATAAATTATTCGTAGTAAGAGGGCTGGTTTCCATGCTTCCGAACAATAGTCCTTTAACTGGGAATTCTCTTTGGCCAAACTTCTATCTATAAATTTGCTATTAGTAAGGTATGCATTTCTTATAGATATCCTCCTTTTTTGCCTGTACTGTGAAGTCTTGATCCTGATCGTTCATTTCAAATCAGATCATGAGATCCACTATTAGTGCCTCCTTTTCCGTGTTAGTGAATGCTAGAATGTCGACGACCTAGTTGGGCCTTCCATATCCAGACAATAAACCTCAAGGAAACATTTGTATTTCTTCATTTCAAGAAATTCGGCTATTTGATGTTTTATATTATTGTGTCATCGGTTGACAAGGAGCATGTTATTAGGACAATTTCCCATCACATGAATGAGCTGGAGTTTCTGACTCTCGGGCACATTTGCTGCAAAGGGGTCCAATATATCCGTTAGTCTGGCTTCTGGTCCCTAGCACTCCGTAGAGAGGTGAGTAATAACATTCAATTTCATGGCATTCGTCCATTCTAAGCTGGTCAGTACCTTTCTCTCACAAATAAATTGATTGGTCCATGGGTTTGCTTTAAAATGGGACACACCAATAGAAAACTAGATTTCCTTCAGGAAAATTTTCAGTGGCTAATAAGTCTAAAATTTTAACTTAAACTTTGTTGTGATATATTCAAAATATGTCTGTAAATGCTGTTTCTATGAACGATTTTTTTCATTTGATTCTTAAAAAGAATAAAATTCTTTATAACTTTTGATTTTTTATTAGGTTAATTATTTTTTATTTAGGATATTAAAATATTAAAGAAATCTTTACTTTTTTTATATGATGTAGCAACACATAAGGTAATTTTTTCAAGTTTCTTAAAAGATGTGAAAAAAGTTTTGTGGACATTTTTTTTGTAATATTGCTCATATACAGATAACATATTCATCCATTTATGCCCCCTAGCTGTACCGCAAATATTTTATCACTAGTTATTTGCAACTCTTCATTTCTGATAACTATAGCTGAATAAAAACCTGTGCTCTGAACTATGATTAGATTTACAAAATAGGAAATAAAAAGTTTTATTATTACTATATTTTACCTGACCGATTTACAAGGTAACAGGTACATACATTTTTCCAGAACTATATATCAAGACCTGAAACTAAGATAAGAGTAGCCTATAAAATCTCTTGATAAACTCCATTTATTAATAAAACTGAAAAAAAAAATGCTTTAAAAGAGTATTAGATCATCAATTTACCTTTAATTTGCTTTACCTATAAGAGATGATATATTGTAATTTTCAAAATAACATTGGATAAATCGGTACTTGATAACAAGTTGATACAATGGAGATTCTAGATCAGTTATTGAAACATTTAGCAGTAAATTTGCAATTACCTTTCTGAGATTGGTGATGCTTATTTTCTTCATGTTAGCTACCCTTACTTAAGATGTATTGCATATACAATTCAAATGTGTCTAAATGGAGTTTTTAGATTTTTTTTCATATAAACTAGAAATAAATGGCTCTTTCTATTGTGTTACTAAAAATAACAATATGTTAATACAGGTAATTTACGGACATGTATACATATGAATCTTTCCATAAAGATTTAATAAAAATAATTTGAATGATCCAGGTGAAAAATCCAAGATACAAAACATTAAAAACAATGTTTCTGAAAGTAAGTACTAATTCTTAACTTACAATCTAAACTACTAAATCTCAGTTATACCTTCTCTCCTCAAGTATTGTACCTATAGTTATAACATTTTAATCCTCATAGAAAAATCTGATAAATAATTGATATTTCTGCATAAAAAGGCTGATTAAGTCCTAACCTGACTGGGGCAGAATCTTGTAGGTCAATTTTCAAACTATTTATTGTCTGATGTATTGAAATGATATATGATACAATGATGTATTGTACAGCCAGTGTTTTAATTTGATAAAATGTTAAACTTTTTTTAAAAAAGATTTATTTACCTGAAAAGTTTAAACAAATTATTTTTTTTTCTAAGAAGAACCTGTTCAATTAATTAAAATGTATTATTTATTTCTTCTGTCAGTTTTTTTCTTCATATCATTGTCTTTTTATAAAAGTACTATATTTGAATAAACTGTTTCTGACCAAAATATTTGGTATTTGTAAAACAAACAACCAGTCATATTGCTCATCCAGTGAAACAACATTTTAACTGTAAAATCAATATTTTTTCATATTAAATTGTCAGAAAGACATATTTTATCAAAACATCACAACATAAGGAAAAATCGAATGGATAGAATAATTTTACAATGGTAAAATCAATTTTAAAAATTATGTTATTTTTATAATAATAATTCTTATTACTTTTCCTCTCTATGTTGTCTTGACAATTTGATCTACTTTAATTGACTTTTAATGATTAGGCAGTGAAAGTTTGGATTTATATGAATTCGTAAAATCTTTGTTAACATCTCGAAAAAGAAAAAAATCTAGTAAAAAATTTGTAAGTTCATAAAACAACTATATTTGTTTCAAAAGAATTTTCAAAAGAGATCATTCATTCTATGAAACATTTATAAAACATTCTTTTCGTTTTTATATAATAAAATAAAATTAACAATATAAAACAAATAATACAAAAAAAATATTTGGTGTATTTAAAGTACTGCTAAAGTGTTCGGGTTTGCAAGGTGAGCTTGTTGCAGTATCCTCAATCTTGGACCCAATGGAATGCCAAGTTTGTGAAGCCTGTCTTCAGTTAAATATGGCAGTTCCAGAAGACCAATTCTTTCCTTCTCAAATAAACTCGCATATTTCTGTAAAAGAAAATGATTAATTTTGACAGATAGCTCAATTAATAGCAGATCCTTTATAAAATAATTAGGGGAACAGGTTTTGTTGGATGCCATAAATAAAATAGTGCTTGACTTGTATTACTACTATAAGCTCATGCATATACCAACCCATAGATTCAGATCAATTATTATTTCAACATATCACAATCTTGATTATTAAATACTGTTCAAACTGATCATTAGGATCAAGAATAAATAAAACTAGTGAATCTGCAGACACACCCACAAATTTAATTATTCTGATATTTTTTCAGAGCCCTTTTTAAATATTATCTCCTGCAATGATTGCCTTAATATAAGCCCTTTTTATTCACATTGAAATTGAGGAAGAAGGCAAAAAACAAAACTTCTTTAAATCCTGAACTTAATAAATCTTTTAGGATTTAGAAGATTAGAAGAAATATTTATGGGGTATAACGATTTTATGTTTTCAGAACGAATTAATTTTAATAACGCCAATTGTTTTGTACGGCCACTTTCCAATGTCTACCTCTTAGGTCACTTTCGTTAGCCGCCACACTATCTGCCTATCTCAATTTCAGTCTGCCAGCTCTCATTGCATAGTGTAATGGCTCTTTAAGTACTCTAATCGAGATTTCAGATCTCTCCTCATCTATCCTAGTTTTACTTGATTATATCTAAATATATGATGCAAGATCACTTATAATTTTAGAATCAATAATATTTGTAGCATAAGTCAAAAAATCTGTGTCTAAACATTTTTCTTCATTTCCTCCTCTGTTGGTTTTCTGTATTTTTTTTTAATTTAACCTGACTATGAGTACCTTTTTTCTCCTCAACTAATAGGATTGAAGAAGAAAAAATTGAAAGAGGCCACTGAGAGTTTTCAGCTGTATGTTGGACCCTCAAAAGGAGAAAGGTTTAGCAGAAACACCTCATGCTTTTATTAAATTTCATTCTCTCACTATCAATATAAAGACAAGTAAGAAACTAATATTTTTAAATCTCCTTTTTTATGCAAAACAGTTATTTTAGAGTATCAAAAAACAGAATAAAAAAAAAAAAATCTTCATTGTCTCATTTATAAATTATAAAAGTCAACTTTTTTATAAAAAGAATTTTTTCTGCTAGTAATGTATTTATTTCTTGAAAGTTTTATCATTCCTTCAGGACGTTTTATTCCTTCATGATTCTTTTCAGAAAGAGCATCAATCATCCATTCAACATAGGCTCTATTCCCTCAACTTTGATTTTTAATTTTTTTTATCAAGTAAAAAAATAAACTTCAATGAGGGTGGTCAGAGGATCGCCTATATTTATTTATTTAATTTTTTCAGAATTTTAAACACACTTTTAATTTGCAAGAAGTTCAAACTGGAAAGTAGATAGTTCAGTGAGATAGGTCCATTACAATTTTATAGCTTTTATTTTTAATAAATAATTTTTAAAATATTTCCATAAAAAATTGTGTACACCTATAGCTGTCTTTTGCATATTGGAAAAACAGAGATAAAGTGCTAATTAAGGCTATTAACATTTTCTGTTTTTCATGAAAAATTGTCAAAATACAACATAAATTCATTCTGTTTAATCAAATCCCTAAAGTTTTATTATATTAAGCTATAAAAAATACTTGTTTTTAGTGTCTATCATTGATTTTAGAGTGAGCATCAAAGGTTTAAGAAGAATACATGTTACAATATTTTAGGGATACAATATCTTACCTCATACCCAAGACCTCTCAGGAAAAGTCGTAGTAAAGGGGGTTCATCACCAAAAAACTTTGTGAGACGTTTCACTTTAGCAGGAGTTGTTGAATTCCCTTGACCTTCTCCCCTTGCAGCATTCATTAACCCTGGTTGTTGCTGTTGCTGTTGCTGTTGTTGATGTTGCACATTTGTCTGAATTCTCAAAGCCGCTAATTCTCCACGCATTACTTCCATTTCCTATGACATTGGGCACATAAACCACTAATGAAAATGTGTAATTTTTAAGTTATAATTTACAACTTAAAACAGATAATTACAGAAACAAAGAATATTCACAATTAGAAAAACTTGGTTATTTGCTACAGTTGAAATTTCATAGTACAGTAGAAATTTTCTTATTTATTAGTTATAATTTATAAGATTTAAGGGGCTAGGATAGCCATGTGGGCTAAGGCGCTTGCAATAGATAATCAAAGTTAAGCAACGTTGAGCGTGGTTAGTACTTGGATGGGTGACCACCTGTCCACCAGGGAAAGAGACGCTGCCAGAGATTCCTTCCCTCCTCGGGTATGTGAGCCTGTTAGCCTACTGGAGGCAACTCATTCCGCAGGGAGGTGAGCGACCTCTGTAGCAGACGTAGCTTCTGGTCCTCCAGGTTAGGGGTTGGGCATAGGGCTAATGACCCAATTCTGTCAAAAACATCACAATACAAAACCAAAAATCAGCCTCGGAAAATCTGACTGTGTCTTAACATGATAACGACCCTAGGTTTGTCTAGCGGACTCCATCTCGGATCATGGAATGTTAGGAGCTTATACAGACCAGGGGCTGTCCAAACCGTAGTTAATGAAGTAGAAAGGTACAACATACCGTTAACAGTCATTTAACAGGTAAGGTGGCCAGATGGTTGTGCAACCACTATAGCCATTCACACACTGTTCTACACCAGGAGAAATAATAAACATTAGACAGCTGGTACTGGATTTATATTTAAGTCTGACCGCAAGGAAGTCAGTAATAAACTTCACTCCAGTCAATGAAAGGATAAGTGTGCTGTGTGTAATGGTCATTGGTTTAATATTACGATTATTAATGTATATGCACCAAACGAAGAGATATAATTTCTATGATCAGCTAGAAAAAATTGTGTACCAGGCTCTAAAATGTGACATAAAATTAGTCATGGGAGACTTCAATGCCAAGATAGGTCGAGACACCCAATTTAGGCCCATCATCGGAGGACAAAGCTTTCACAAAACCAGCAGTGATAAAGGAGTGAGATTTATCTGTCTGGCAGCAGCTAAAGGTCTAGTAGTGAGCAGTACAATGTTCCTGCACAAGGACATACATAAGTACACCTGGGTAAGTCATAAAGGCATAAAAAGCCAAATTCATCACGTGCTGATACACAAGACGCATCAAAGCTCCATACAAGACATAAGGAGTTATCGTGGAGCAGACTGTGATTCAGACCATAGTCTGATTAGAATCAAACTGTCAGAGGATGAAGCGAATCCACCAAATTGGGGACCAAGTGGAAAGAAAGAGGTATGAAGTCCGAAATTTGAAAAATCCTAAATTACAGACTGAATTCCAAATTGAGCTGAAAAATAATTTCATACCCCTGAACGTGGAAGGCCTCATGGTGGACCAACATTGGAAAGAACTAGAGTCCGGGCTAAAACAAACAGTTAAGAAAGTAATAGGGATTCAGATAAAAAGAAAAGCCAAGAAATGGTTCACAGAAGCATGTGAAGAGGTAATGGAGGAAATAAGAAAAGCAAAAACTGATCAATATATGCTGGAAAAATACACAGCCACCAGAAAAAAGACAAACAAAATAATAAGAACAGCATGAAAAAGAGAATTCCTCAAAGAAAGATTACAAACTATTGAGGAAAACTGGCAGGCTGAAAATATATGCGAATTATTCGCAGATATCAGGAAAGAAAGGGTAGGATGTGAGGGAAAGATTGCAATCAAGAGGATATTGAGAGACTTGCTCAGACTCTGTTAAAAGAAACAGAGCTAATTGGACAAATCAATGTAGACAAAGATCTACAAGGTCTGTAGAGCCAACAGAAAAAAAAAATTATAAGATCTAACAGGATGAGAGCTAAAATATAATGGACAAAGAACAGAGTAGATAGCAAGAGGAGAGAAAAATCCTCTGCAAAGTAAGACTGTAATGACATAGCCAGGAACCGTAAGAATAATGCCAATTTTTCTAATCTGTTTCTAACTTATTTTTAATACTTGAAATAATATGAATTAGACATTAAACTTCCATCATAAACTAATGAAAAAAAAAATTCTATAAATATTGTTTAACTTAATACAGGACCTTGTTTTATTTCTTATGAAAATAAATTTCATTAGACAACTCATTATGATGTCAACTATTATTTACTATTTCATTAGGTTTGGATATTTTTGTCTCTTTGGAACAATCATATTTTAATTCATATATTGTAAGCCTTTTATTTTCCTTTTAAATTCATCTACATTTTCTTCTCAATCCTCCAATTTTAACTGTAAATGTATATTCTTTTTTTTCTATAATTACAACCAATGTTATCCTACTAAGAAAAAGTGAGGAGAAAAGAATGAAGAGTACAGCAAGAGGAAGCAGGATTACAGGAATCTTGTTAAATTAATCTGTTCAACTTGGATATGTTAACAATATAGAGCTTATGGACAGGACATGGAGAGATTTTGTTTCGGGATTCGAAGCTCTACAGGTCCTGGTTTCCTAAATGGGACTAACGGTAAACACCATGAAGGCGAAATACATGCATCCTACTTCCCCTTCAGTATAAGCTGGAAGTAATAGTAGGAACAGGTAAGCATGAATTTCACAGAGTATGAATATTTTTGTTATGAAAAGCCCAAGTATATTCTCAAAATAGTATTAAGTGACATATTTTCTCAGCAAACAGGAGCTACTTTGCCCTTCAGAAAAGCTTCTGTAGCTGAGCTCTGTCCAAAGCTGCATAGTTAAAAATCTTTAAGACACAGATCTGCCTAATTCACAAAAGATGTTGGAGAACCATTAATCTGTAGGATAGAACATAGTTTATAATCTTCTCTCTCAAATCCAGCATTTGAGATATGCTTGGTGTCACTTTAGATGCGCTTATATTTTTTGATAATTCTATCCTCAATTTTAAGACGATTTATTAAATACACCTCACTGGTGTTGAGACATTGGCGATATCATATATTCTAGGAGGAACACATTCTCAAGTTGAATGATTGAGTCCAAGAGAAGCTACTGAACTACTGATATTTCAGGTCCTAGAGGTGAAGATGTTACCATGTGGACTATGTTTAGGCCTGGCTATGGTGATAGATAACTGATAAACTAGAAGAAGAGGACTGTTAGTGGATTTTGTTGTGTGACTTCATATTAAATTCGAGACATATTTAAATCCTAATATGCCGTACCCAACAGTGTCGCGGCTGAGAGAGAAGCACTGGGATCTCCTGGAGTCCTGCCTTGGCTTCCACATCGGGGAATAAGGCATGACTCAGAGTCTCCCGGGTGAATATAAATATTGTACATAGGTGTGAATGTGATTTATTTACTTTAATTTCATCTAGCTTTTATATATTATTTCATTATTTTTTTTGTACGCAGGCATACCAATTTACTTATTTTATTTTTTTTTATATTTCTTTTTCTTTATTATTGATATTAATTGTATGTACATATTGTGTGAATGAATCATGTAGCCTTAATATTAATGCCCTTCAATGTGGCAGAATGTATTAATATTCAATAAAGAAAGTTAAAAAAAAAAAAAATATGCCATACTTAGGCATAAGAGGAAACCTTGGTATTGCTAACACCAAAGTATATAGCCTTACAACTGGAGAGTTAGAACAAGTAAAAGCCACTACACAACTTAGAATGGCATCTGAAAACTAAGATAAGTCTGAAGTTACATTTTATAATGCTGCCAAGTGCACAATAAATCAATTAGAACACCATTTAGGATATGTGGTTATAGCTATAGTTTCAATGGATGATTGTCTTTCTTGGACAATGTTCAGGATGCCTGGTCAAGCAGTTTCTAGACCAATGTGGAATATGGGCATTGAAGAAAATAATTGCAATTAGTAAGCAAGATTTGGCATAGGGAGGTGGTGGGCCCGTCGCCCGGTAATTATACCGCAATCAGCCACTGGTCCTCCAGGTTGGGGGAACAGTACACTAACACTCAAACAAAAATACTAATTACAGCACACTACATCCAACCCCACACTACAGACAAAGGTCAATTACAGTACTCACCCTAGATCCATCTTCCACAGGTAGCCCTGTATCCCTGGATGGAGGAGCTGATACACCCACTCTCCTTAAAATACAGATATCAAGAAAGCCCAAAAGAGATTAAGCGGACTGATCAATGGTAAACAACTCTGCAACCATCAATTGAACTATTCAATATCATTGGACAGCCATGTTGCTAGGATGGAACCAAATGAGATTCCACATAAAGCCTTTTCAGAGAGTGTATAAGGAACTAGAAAAGTTTGACATCCTAAGCTTCGCTGGAAGGATGGATTGGCTATAGATGCAAGGTTCCTACTTGTTGTCCGGAACTGGAAGGTAGTGGTTGGAAACAGAGAGGAATGACAATCTATAATAGGTCAGGCTTTGACTCAACAAGTGGGTCCCAACACCATTTAATAATAATAATAGTAGAACATTGAAGGGGAACCTTTTTTATCATTGTAGGTATCATTATTTAGGTGTATATATATATATATATATATATATATATGCAACCGATCTAGGTATATATACACATTTTAGTTAACTAATTTAATTTTAACGATCTAATTAAATTTTCTTAAACATCAGAGCTATCATCTATAAAAGCTGTCCATGAACACATTGAACATAGGATTCTATTAGAGTAAGACCCCACATGTGAACAGTTATGGGCCTTGAAGATTTCTACCTTTCCTCGTTAAAAAAACAACACTATTTTGTGAAACTTATTTATTTGGATTCAGAAGACCTCAAAATGTGTATTTCCAATGAAAAGTTATGTTTCAATTTTTTTTTTTTATCGCCATACTTTCCATTACTATTTATTTCATATAAAGGTAAACAAAATAAAAACTATGTAGAAAATTTAAATAATTATTAATTATAATCTTCATATTCAATTTACAACTACAATTTATTTTAAAAAAGTATAAGCAATAATAACATTCTTTGTACAGTTAAAAAAAAAGTGAAATAAGACAATGAATTAACAAAATAATACTGTCCTAAAAAAAAAAAAAAAAAATGCTTGGTCACCATACATTTAGTTTATATGAAACAAGTTTGTTCACTTGTTTACTTGGTTACTTTGTTCACAGTCTAATTGTAAGATATTTAAAATATAGAAATATTAGCTAAATTAAAATGTAATAGTTTAGTGAAACTGTTCTTTTTTTAACAAGAACTCTTCTAAAAATATAAAAATATAATGTAAATCATGAAAATTACTAATTAATTAAAATAAAATTAATAAAGACCAACCTGCATCATGAGATGTTGGGTTCTCATTTCTGATGAAAGATGAGCAACACTTCTAGCCAGAGTCACAACATGAGATTCCAAACGTTGGAATCTTTTATTAATTCCCTACACAAAACCAAGACATAAATCCAATATTTATACAAAAAACGCATTATTTCTAATTTTATTTATCAAGTTATCAAAAATGTATTACATATATTTGCCCATAAAAAACTAAATACTCAAGTTATTTAGGGTATACATTTTTCTCCTGAGCATAAGAACTGGACAGTTATATAAATAAGAATTGAAAAATAAAACGGATAAGGTAAAGAAAAATTACTTTTTTTTCTTTTCTTACAGATGACATGAAACTTAGACACAAAAAAGTTAATGAAGAAACTGAGTTGTAAATGGGTGGTGGGGGAAAGTCACTGAACTGAAGAATATGATGGCATGTCTGTGAAGCTGAATTATTTTCTCACAATTAAGCTTGTGGCAAGTGGCATATAACTACATCATTAGCATATTTTTTACAGCCAGTTATACAGCTTTAAGGAATTCAAATAAATACTATTAGTAAACATATAGAAATTAATATTTTCAATGAAAAACTATTTATTTTCCTCCTCTGTTTTATACAGCTCTTTCTGAATCAGAGTAATTTGTATATCATAGATTTTTTTACTCTTAAATTATACAAGTTATAATAATTGTGAAGAAATGAGAACAACACAAAGCTAGAGAAATTGGAGAGTCATAATTAATCGTAAATAAAACTGCTTAAAACTATTTAAAAAGATTAAATATTTAAGTTAGTTGTTCAGAGTTCCAATGCCACTACTACTGTGTTCTCCCTATTTATCAATTTGCAAAGCTATATTTGCTTGTAGATAAATTATTATTGCATAGCATTAACATTTAAGACACTAACATTTTCTCTTTGTTGAACTTTGATCAATAAAAGAATTCAATGTTTTTCTTTTACCATTAATAGCTTATTTTACTTAAGTTTAAATTTTCTGTGTCCAGAAGGCCATAAATAAAACTAACATCTTGGAAAAAACAATTAAACAAGTAATGTTGGATTTGATATGGGACAAAATGTTAGCACAATTGTTTGTTTACAAATGTAAACATTGAATATAAATAAATAAGACTAATTCAATTTGATTTATGCTTTTAATATTACCACTTGTAACAGTGGAAATGGGAAGAGCTAAATCTCTATCTTTGAAAGAAATATCATTCAGCGATTAAAAAAACAAGACTTTTCTGTTTCTAATGTTTTGGAAATTACAGATAGAAGTAGAAAAGTTATTTCCAACGGGAGGGAGGGGGGGAGGAAGGAAGGGGCTTTCGGGCTGAAGCCCCCCCAAAATGGTAAAATGTAACCAGGTTTTACAGAAAAAAATATTAAAAACTATCTCTTAAAGTATTCTTGTTCATGTAATTATATTTAATAGGACTTCAAGAATCACTTAAACACGATTTCATATAGGTAATTAATTTCTCTAATTTTTTCGAATTAATTATCGTTATATGCATATGAAAAAAAAATCTTTCGGGCTGAAGCCCCTCCCCCCAAAATTAAATCCTGGATCCGCTAGTGAGGTGAGCATAATGAACAAATAAGGACAAACTAAAATCATTACTTAAATTTTTCTAACCTTGAAATCTCTAACTTTTCCTCTTGTTTGACTTCGGTTGTTTCTGATTGGTCTAGAACTAACAGAACTAGGAACAGAGCTGATACTACCACAAGTTCTTCTTCTGCTGTGACGTAAGTCTAATCCATCATATGTCCCTCCATGCTGTCTCCTAGCTTTAAGCAGCTTGAGAACCTTCACAAGAATAGAGGTTATGAAGCAGGCAATATGTTACATTTAAATTTTTTTCCTTTATATTTTTTTTAGTTTTAAGATAATATATAGTGCAAATACAAAAAATGACTAATTTTTAGGACTAAAAAAACAACTTAGGAAAAAAAAAAAAAGGCATCTCACCTGCCCATACATGCTTTCTAATCCTTCCAACTGTTTTCTAATGAGGCGTGTGTCAGCATAATCTTCCTCATCACTTGAATTATTTTCATCAAGCATTGAATCTATTTCAATACGGCTTGATAATAAATCTGTAAATAAATTCATTATTCACATTAAAGTTTTGAAAGTGAAATAATTCAAGGTAATTAAACATTAAAAAAAAAACTTTATTAAACAGTTAGACTAATAAAATTTGACTGTCCAAAACCGGGAGGAGTGGCTGTTAAATAAACTTGGATAAGTTATACGACATGGGAAGTTTACTATCAATGGATCACCAATTTCTTTTTGTACACTGGTACTGTTATGGACACATTATATTCTTAAGATAAGATATCCTACAGTTTCCTGGTGATGCCATGATGCCCTGCTTTGAGTTTTCCCAAGATGTCTTTAATGTCCTCTATACAAGGGGCTGAATAGTTTCCAAGACTATTATTCCATTCATTTTTCAATAAAATTGATCATAAGGCTGCCACAGATGCACCAAGTTACTTAGTAAGATATATACTTTGATTAAATTCCAATATTTTTGCAGAATTAAATACTCTACATTTAATATAATATTTTTATTATTATTATTTTTTTTTTATAAGTAGCATATATAATGAGTTATTTTTAATAAACTATTGAGTCCAAAAATATTGAGATGCTTTGGAAATACACTTGAAGCTCACCAAAGAAATAGGTTCATACTTAGTTCCTTCTTATTAGAGGCAAAATACACCGATTAAAACAATGTCCAGTTCTACATGACCTATTTCTAAGTTAGGCCTTCATTTAATCTAATTTCAATAACCTAATAGGGATTACATTAAAATGTCTTTTCCAAGAATATTAACTATAGGATTCTAGTAAAAAAAGGCTGAATTACATAAAAAAACATTGAACATTAAAGTTATACAGAACATTAAGAGCAGAAGATCTAAAGAATTCATACCCTGCACCATGAATCTAAAAAAGAAATAAATTCATAAAATGGTACAATTTTTTACATTTATATAATTATTTATGTAATGTATAGAACGGAAATGTATTGCGATCGTGAAAATTTTCAAATCTGAGTTTTCAATGGAAATACACATTTTGAAATACCCGGAGTCCAAATAACCAACTCCCTCAAAATGATCTGCGTGTGAGTGTGTCTGTGAACAATCTAGCTCAAAAACAAAAAGTCATACACTATTGAAATTGTATATTCAAGGTTTTTACATGCCTGAGGTGTTACAGCAACTTTTTCATCAAAATCAGCTTTTCACCACCCGGAAGTGACACTTTATTTCATAAATTTTACAAATTTTTACAATTTTCTTAAAAACGGCTCAAATGATTTTGATTAAATTCATTACATCAGTGTAAAATTAAGTAGCTTTTAAAATTATGTAGGTCTTATTTTCATTGATGTTTTCTAACAGGGTTTAAAATGTTAATTTTCAAAATTTCTGCTCCTAAAGTACCTTTAACATTTTTGATTTGAAATAATTAACTATTTCACATTGTAAACTGATATATAAAATGGTTAAATATCATGAATGAAGAAAATTGATTGGTAACTAAAGGAGACATAAGAGTTGTAAGCTATACAGAAATAGCCGAGAGGGTCCCCGCTATACAGCAATACCCACTGGATAGGGCTTTCATATTGTTAGTTTATCTTTTATATATATCACTTATCTATAACTTTCTAAAAAGCCTTTTACATGAAATTTTGAGAATCTACTAATATAATTGTAGTAGAGGGTCTCTAGTATTTACTCCTTTATGTGACATCGAGTGAGGAAATGAGAAGGAATGTGAGGTTGCACTATGAATTGTACTCAATTGCGCAGTGGACAAATTGTTCATTGAAAAGTCTCACATCGATAAACAATCGACGAAGAAGGAAAAAACCTGGAAAAGTGGCGGTAGGTGGCAGCAGCTGGAGAAGGATGCGGGAGAAGAAAGAAGAACTCACTTGAGGCATGGAAATAAAGGCAGAATTACGTGACGACAGAAGAGAAGCCCACTTCACTGAAGATTAAAAAGATCGAGCAGTAATAAGACTGATAGATTCAATTTATTACAGTTATAGAAATAATTATTTTGTTATACAGGAGTGAATAGTCGTTTTATTTAGTTGTCCTATATGCCTCACAATTGAAGAATAACAAACCAAGTGAGTCCATTCGTTCAAAGTGTATTTACTCAGTCCCACATTTCATATTTACATATTCTTATTATTTCTTGCCACCCAGTGTCGCAAAAGCATTAGGTTCCCGAATTTCTAACAACAGCAAACACTCTCAAAAAGTCTATATCCAGTGCTGGAATTTTGTTTTAAGAAAATTAAATTCACGAGTGTAAATAACCTAGACTTCCGACAAAACTGAAGGCTATTTAAAATTGCCGCCCGAACAGGCTATTTACAATTGCCTCCCAAATAAGGCTTTTTATAATTGCTTCCGAACAGGTTATTTACATAACCCTAATAATATACAATATTTACTAACGTTTTTATTTTTCCGACGAGCTACATGATAAATGTTTCCGATATAACTCAGAATTTTCAAAAATCTATTTTTTCCCACAATCATTAGTATTGTTGGTACTATGCATAGTTGTAAAAGGAAATGGAAAGTGATGCAAACATATAAATTTAACAGATTTGGTGGCCGAGAAAAACATGATAATTAATGGTTTTAAATGAAGTTATACCATCGTTTTCACTTTGAATTTCATATGAAAATACCTATTTACTTTAAGGTTGGTAATTGAAAGTTGTGTGATGCGCGCACTGTGTGTGACCATTGTGAATTTAAGATGATTTTATTTTGAAACAATTAAAGTTGAGCAAGAAAGGAAAAAATGTACAAGAGAATATAAAAAAACAAACAATACTTCTATTATTATTTTATTTTTCTGACAAAGTTAATATTATCTGATGAAAGTAGTGTTTGACAACATTAGTCCCATAAATAAATTTTATAATTTTTTAATTTCTGCTTATAAAAACTAGTAACTTCGAAATTCAAGGAATTGTGAATTTAAAAATAATGAAGCAATAAACTTACTACTAGTGGATTTTGATTGTTTATGATGGGTCCTGGCAGACTTTTCGCTGGTTCGAGATACCCATAGAGGACCATTTTGATTTTTAAATCCTCCTCCTACACCTAACCTATGGAAAAATTTAACATTTTACAATTATAAACTGCAGTGAATTTTACAGAACTAACAAAGTGAATCGGAACAAAAACAATCATCCATAAAAAAATAAATTGAATGTTTATTTACCCCAAAGCGTTTGATCTAAGGACATACTTAGGCCTGTCATCTCCACTTGAAGCTGGAGGAGACAAAGGTGGGAGTGGAGGGGATACTGAGGAAATACTGTCACTGGAGGCACCACTTCCACTTAATATCTGCCTTAGTTCTGTTTCAACTCTTTCTGTCCATTCCTCACCTCCCTTATCTCCTAGAAAAATTAATATGTTAATGCCAGAAGCACGAAATCATATAATGGTACAAGAAACCAAATGTAACTGGTTAAAAAAATAAAAAAGTGTTAATCTGAACAAATCTGTAATAATTAGGAAATCATCAAGGATTTTAAAAATTAAATTAAGAAAATAAACAATATAAGTGGAAATAAAGATCTCATGTAAACTATACATTATTTTTCTTTAATTCCTGGTACTCGTTAAGAATGGAGTTGGAATTCTATTTTATCTAGCTCACTGATCTCAGTCCCTTGCTAGTCTGCTTATCTCCGAGATGGTGTGGCTCTTTGCGGCTACCAGTTTTCCAATACAGCCAGAATATATGCACCTCATGTGCCCCAATTAATTTCCCTTCTACAAACGTATGCATATCATATGAACTGCTGTTGTTCCAGAATTTCATGCGCTATTTAGATTCAAGAATCCTATCCTATTATTTCTAACATTCTGTCTTGGTTTTATCGAATACTCTTCGGAGATAAATTATACGTATTTTTAAAGTGTAATAAAATTTTTTTAGTAATGGGTGGACATAAACCTACTGTTAGAAATTCCTAAAGTGATTATCAACATGTATCTGTAGATCCAAATACAAATAAAATCAGTGTCATGATCATCAATTTTTCTTTTGAAGATGATCATGCTATATATATACATTTAATTTTTATATAAGATTTTAAAGAGTTAAGGTTTGAACAAACCTGAAAAGTAATAAAATGAAAAAAAAAACTTTTTGAAATGTATGGGTAAAATGCAATCTTTTAAACTTACTAATAAAAATATTTTAAATAGAATATAAAATAGAATAAAAGTAATTTATCTTTTACAATAATACTAATTAAATTAGAGTAATAACAATTATATAGTTACCAATTGCAGATGTAACAGGTTTTGCATTGGAATATACGGTGCTACCTCTACCAGAATCACTTTGTGCTCCTCGCTTAACAAAACCTCCTGTAAAAATTAATCTTTAAGTATCTGTTAAATTACCACCAAGAATTAATAAAGAGCTTATCTGGCTAATTGGTTCAGTAGAGTTTAGTAGTGGGTAGGTCAAAACATCCCTTCTTATCTAATCTCATTTCACATAACCTCCCTTATCTCATCTAACCTAAGTTATTCCCTTGTTTATTTTTTGTTCCTTGTGTTAGCTGTGAGTTAGTGTTATTTAATTATGGATGTTGTCACATTGTGGGAATTGCCGTCTTCAGAAGAAGAGGCTATAAAATATTTTCAAGATGCTATGATATTTGCAAAGGTCAAATATTGTGATGAAGGTCATAAAATGAAGTTCGACGGGAAGATTAAATGGAGATGCTTTCATAGATGTAACAAAACCGTTTCTATAAGGAAAGGAACGTGGTTAGAGGGGTCGAGGATTTCTTTTTTAACGGCTTTAAAATTCATTTATGGGTGGTCCCATAATTTAACAACAATACAGTGGGGGAAAGAGCAGCTCAAACTATCCATCGTAACTGTCGTAGCATGGAACAAATTTTTAAGAGAAGTTTGTGCCCATGACATGTTATACAGGTTGAATAAAAAAATTGGAGGGCCTAGCAAAGTCGTCGAAGTAGACGAGAGTCTTTTTTCGAAAAGAAAAAATCATGTGGGGAGAGTCCTACCTGAGTAATGGATGTTTGGCGGAGTTTGCTGAGAAACAGACGAGTGTTTTATTGTCAAAATAAACAGTAGAAAAGCAACAACTTTATTAGAAGCCATTAAAAACAATATAGAGGAGGCAAGCACCATTTATTCCGACTGTTTGAAAGGATACAACACCAAACAACTCAATGAAGCAAACTACAACCATTTTCAGGTGAATCACAGGTATAATTATGTTGATCCATCAAGCGGAGTCCATACTCAACACATTGAACGATTATAGGGCTCAGCTAAGTGGAGAAATAAAACACACAGAGGAACTGCCAGACAATACCTGGATTCATATTTATGTGAGTTTTTGTGGCGGCGGGCACATAGAGAACAGGATCCCTTCCTCGCTATTTTAAATACAATAAAACTATTTTCCCTACCAAAATAAATCAAGTTAAAATAAAATTTTTCATATTTTGTTTATACCGTTTCTTCATAGTGATTCTTTTATATGTACATATGCTGTTTAAGTAGTTTTTTATTATTTCATCTATTTTTTGCCTATTTTTATTATTTCATTTATTTTGATATATATATATGTTGCAATGTTTTCGTAATGTTTTTTAATTATATATTTATAATGTTTTGGTATATATATTTTAATATATATGTTGTAAAATAAAAGTATTTTTTTATTATTACATTTGTTTCTGTTTTTGTTCACAATTTTAATAATATTAGTACAATACAATAAATATGAATATGAAGATATAATAATATGAATATAATACAATAAAAATGAATACGAAGAGCTTATCAGTATTAAGATTATAAACATTGGCAGATAGCAGTCGGACGCTACCCCCTGCTAAATAAGTACCGTTGGTTTTTACAGTATATTTTTCTTAAATCATGGACTTAATGATTAAAGTACAGATTTGAATAAACCCACAACTAATGTGTTTGATATTGAATATTGCAGTGGAGTGACAACTGACCTCATACATTAAACTAGTGAGTGTTTATTGATTAGATACATCATTAAATTACAGGAAGCATATTCTAACTCAACTGATTGAATTCTAGAGGAGTAAGAAATAATATTGTTTCAGTATACAAGAGTTTGTTAAAACTTTACTGAATAATGCCCTATCTAATAGAAATAAAGATGGATTTGTTTCTTAAAACTAGTAAATAAATTCAATCTTAAAAATATTTTAATAATTTTTTTTCCTATGATGCTCTGCCTCTCACTCTAATGTAGCTAATTATATGCTGATTTAAATACTAAATTATTGAGGACCAAACTTAAAATCACTTATTTGTTTATGTTACCTTCATCATCGTCTTCTTGGCTACAAAGTTTGGGCTGGTCTATCTTTGGCTTGACTTCTTCATCATGATTATTATTTGATTGCTCAAGACAAGAATTTTCATTTGGTTGCTGATTCACTTGATTTCTTATTTCACCCTGTTTATCATCAACTATTCGTCTTTGGTTATCATCACAACGATCATTCAATTGTCGATTTTCTAAAAAGGGGCCTAAATATATCAAATTATTACACTAATGTAATTTTGCAGCTTTGAATAAAATCTATTAAATAAATATAGTCAAACATGGCTATAAAGAAAATATAACTAACCCTGGGCATGTTCTGGATGCCTTTGTTGTTCACCAAATAGGCTCTGCTGTTGAGTGTGGAATTGTTGATCTTGGTACTTTGCTAGATCAACTCCACCTCCACCATCGCCACCTCCTCCTCCTCCTGCATCATTAGACCTTTGTTGATTTCTCACAGCCTCAGTAGTTAATCTCTCACTTAATAATCTCTGCTGTTGAATTTCTAGAAACAAAAAAGTCAAATTGCAATTCTCTTTCTAATTTGATGTTTGTGATTGACTGTTATTTTTACTAAATTAAATTATAAAACACTAAATCAATGGCTTGAATCTCTCTTGCTCCTCATTTTTACTCATATAAGAGATTCCCATGCCAATGCGTAGAATACACAGTAGACATATAGAAATTGAGCACAAAAGGTTATATAATTATTTTTTTGTATAAGTGATTAGAGTTATATATATGTGAATACTAAAAATGAGATATCAAATCTGTAATATTGAATTTCGATATTTTGTATTTTATATTTTTCCTTAGTGATAATTTCTTAATGCCATTTCCATTTTTCAATTTTAGAAAATAATTGTTTTATTTTTAAATGTAATATCTCTGATAATACGATGTAATTCAGATTGAGATAACATGATTGCTGACTGTATGAAAGTTTCATAAATGTGCTCTTCATTTGAATCATATTCATTAATATTGTTTAAAAAAATTAAAATAATAATAATAATAACAATTATAATAAAAATAAAAATGTTTTCTATATACCTAATGTACTAAACTTCACAACCGTGAAAATAACTTTCATAAAATACAATTATTCAAGTGGGAAATGATTAATATTGAACGTTTTCTCGATTTATTAAAACATTCCTCCAATATATATTATAATTCCAATAGTTTATCAAAGATCTACGAAAATTTTAAAAATGCAATTACTCACATAGCCATGAAATCAGATATCTCAAAAACTAAAACAATAAAAACTGGCTTAACATCGGACAATAAAAGCTGGTTTGATGGAAAATGTAAATTTAATAAGAAAGAAGTCCGCAAGAAGTATAAAATATTCAGAAAACATCCATTTTCATAAAAGAATCTAAACACATACGTAAAGGAAAGCAAAATATATAAACAAGTCTTGAGAGAATCTAAAAATGAATATTATAGATCTATAGTTGATTAAATTGCTGAATCAAAAAATAGCAAAGAATTTTGGCAAACAATAAAACGACTTAGGAAAAAAAAAAGTTGAGCTGGAAATATCATCAGAAACTTTTGAGAATTTATATAGAAATTTCTATTCCTCTCCAAATCCTGGTATAGATACAACGTTAAAGATAATAAATCCATTCCTTGACTGTGAAATATCGTCAGAAGAACTGAAAATAACTATTCATCACATGAACAGAGATTAATCCCCTGGCAATGACAGGATTAATATTAACACCTGAGTGGGAACATTATATCCTCAATGTTATGAATGCAGTGTATAAACAAGAAGACATCCCCAAATGCTGAACAAAAATAATAATAAAACCAATTTTCAAAAAAGTTAACAAAAATGACCCGACCAATTTGAGAACTATAGCTCTATTAAATACAACAACCAAAATATTCATTTACGTTCTGAACAGCCATCTAATGGAATGGTCAGAAATCAACAAAATTCTGCCAGAAGAACAAAATGGTTTTCGTAAAAACAAAGGATGCAGAAATAACATCTTTACTTTGAGCTAAATTAAATATCAACCTGAGATTTAAAGGACACTATGTTTTTAGAGTATTTATAGATTTTCAAAAAGCCTTTAATACTTTAAATCATAATCAGTTATGACAAAAGCAAAATAACATTGGAGTGAATGCAAAAATAATTAAAATACTCAAAAGAACTGTATGAAAATATGGAAGCAGTGATAAGACATTAATGGGGTGATGTCAAGCCCAATAAAAATTACAAAAGGAATACTTCAAGGTGATTCAGCAAGCCTATTACTCTTTGCACTGTACATCTCAGATATTGTCAAGTATTTTTATGAGCACCAAGCAATAGACCTCCAAAAGCCAAAATTTATATAATTTTTTAATAGAATGCCCAATGTATAGACTTGAGGGAACATTACATAGAGAAATATATTACAGAAGACAACAATTCAATGCTTGGTAATTTGTTAACGATAGAAAACCTCGTAAAGTTAAATGATACACTTTATTTTACAGTAAGGAGCCTTAAAATAAGATCATTTATTATGAATGATTAAATGCCAGCAATATTTATGTCTATGTTTATGTTTACCACAAGGCATTGTTATCTTCGACTAAGAAGCTGATCATATGTATTGTTGCAATCTGCTACATTGTATTGTAGCAATATATTATTGCTATTTTTAAAATTCCTTTAATGTATATTTATTTGATTTTTTTTTTATATCTTCAAATTCAATACTTTTTATTTATATTGTTATACAGTTGTTTTCCCTTTTCTATCTTTTTTTTTTTACATCATAATTTATATATCTAGTTTATCTTATTTATGAAAAAAGAATATTTCTCCGATTTATTTCTATATTTTTATGGTACTTTATTTTGATTCTTTTTTATATAATAATGTATTTATTTAATTGAGCCAGACCTCCTGTAATTGTTAATTATAAAATACAGAATTTTCATTCATTCATACTTAATGTACTAATAATAACCATTAACCATAATAATAACCATTATAATAACCATTATGCCTTTGTTGTTCGGCAAAATGTCTCCTTTGTGATGCTAACTGCTCTGGACTGTATTCAAAGTGCCTAGTGCCATACTGTCTGTTTCTACAACAGAAAAAAATATTTATAAATGTACATGTAAAACAAGAATAAAACTTTTAATAAGAGAGTAGAATAAGCTACCTGGGTGTTTCTTGATGGGAAAACTGGGTGTCAGCAGTTTGCTGACTATTGTAGAAATATGGAACGCGACTTGGTCCAGCACCTGAATAAACAATCCTTTGATTTTGTTGCTGCATGTAAATACTTTGACTAACTCCATCTTGCCTGTACCTAATGCCAAATAACTAGAATGAATATATGATTTTCTGAAATTTTCACATAAATATTATTTGTTTAAAGTATTTAATAGGTATTATAGATATTTGATCAGAAATTTGCATATTTGTTCATCTTTTTACAATTATTTTTTTTATACTTCTATTATTTTATTCAGAAATGAATATAAGATAATATAGAAAAACAAATACCTATTGTCTTGTCCTAATAGACTATCATGACTTTGGGCCTTGGATAAATCTCTCCTAGGAGTCTCCGTATAGTTGCTGTTAACTGGATAAACTCGATAACTGTCATTGACCTGAGAATATTTCAGAAATAAATGAATATTACAAGAGAATATTTCAGAAATAAATGAATATTACAAGATAATATATCTCACTAAACTTTGTAAACATTTAAAAATATTGTTTAAATTCCTATAACATTAATAATATAATTATTAATTTTTAATATTATTTAAGGATTTATTGAAACTATATTATTCTTTTAATGCAATATACAATTTTACTTAAGTATTTAGGACAATAATAATCCTCATTATTCAGTTTTAGAACAGAAAAAGTTAGTTTGGTACGTTTTCTTATTTACTTTTTGGGGAAAAGAGTATAACACAAAAGATTTCTGCTGAATTCAGACTATAGAAAGTCTGATATTGTTAGGTACTAGGTGCATCTCATTTTATTGGATAAATCAATTTTATTGAGGGAGAGGGGTGGTTGAGCGGGTTAATGCGTGTGCAAAACATGTGTTGCCCGGCAACCAGATGATTAACAAACCGAAGTTTATTAGATACAAAATAATTATGAGTTCACGTCCCAGTGCCGGGGGAGCTTATAACTCTGGCATTGATTCCTCGCTTTCTCCCCCTGGCACAGGAAAACCACCGCATAGCCTTAAAAGGTTATGAGGTGGACAGAAAAAAAAAAAAATTAATTTTATTATTTTAGGCATTTAAGGTTACTAACAGCTGAAAATAAAGGCTTATTTTAATAAAATTTTAAAACACTGAATATAATGACTTTTTTTAAGTTAGCACCATACCATATTAGAAAGCTGTCTCGTATGTAGAGGTCTATTCTAGAGGAAAAAATTATTATGATTATGAACAATATAAATCAAAATATGTCAAACATCATTGCAAGAGAATCCATTCTTTATGGCTTAATCCTATCAAGAAATTGTTTTACAAAATAAAAATTTGGTTTGGATTGATGTATTTTATCAAAAAATTTAAAACAGATAATGCTTAAAAACATCAGGTATAAATGATTCTTACTTGCTTACAAAGATAAATATTTTTAACATAAAAAATCATTATCATGTGAAGAATAGACAATTATGATGGAAGAATACTTTTTCCTGAAATCTAAGTGTTTCCGGGAAAACAGAAATGAACGTTACTATAGAATTTTATAGTTACATGAACATCATTAAAATAATCATTACAGACCTGGTGCTGTTGATGTTGCTGTTGTTGTTGCTGCTGATGTGGCTGTTGCTGATGCTGCTGCTGTTGAGATAGCCGATATTGAACAGGTTGGGGTTGAAGGTATATACCAGCCTGCCTCAATTGGCTTTGTGGGCTCAAGGAGGTATCGGGTCCCTTGTTTGAAAATCCTCTGGTTACAATATCTTTTAAACTTCTGTTGAATTAACTTTATGTAAGTTGTGTAAATTTATAAAATAATCAAAAATAATTTGTAATGTAAAAATGAAATAGCTCATTAGAAATATATTTATGTACACAAACATATCTTAACAAATTGTGGGAGGTTTTCAGGAAAATGTTAAAGATAATTCTAATTTTTCAAGTGTGCATTAATGTTTTGAAACCCCATAGTTCAGATTTATTTAAAACCAATACATTTTATTAAAAAAACAAAAATAAATATCTCACAAAAAGTAATCATAATTGAGATTATTGTTATATAAAAAAACTTTAAACTATTTCATATCATATCAATATTATTTTAAAGTAAAATAGATACCAGTTTCCAAATTTTTAAGTTAGAAAATTAGAAAACTGATATTCTATAAAGAAAAGCAGGCTACTAGAGGTCCTTTGTTGTCAGTCCTAATCACAAGTATCATCTTAAATATTTATTTGTTTTTTTATCCTCATCCACAATGAATTGGTAATCCAAGAGCAAACTGGCACAGCACTTTTCAAAAAAATAAAAGAATTTTTCTAGGCTATTTTTATGTCAGTATTTGGTTTGTTAGGGTTAGCTGCCATGGTCAGTTATTAAAGGCTGTCCCCAGTCCTCCAGCCTTTTCCAGTTACCCACTGGTCCTCAACTTTGGCCAACTTATAAGTTACAGATGGAAATGCCCACTATAGATTCGGAGATTATTCTGGATTGTGTAGAAGGGTTTTTATCTTTTAAAAGAAACAAATGGGTGAGGTATATTCCATGATTTTAGAAATATTGCAGTTATGAATTATTTACTCTGAGAAAGTCTCATAAGTATATTAATAATTATAATTTGCAATCAATAACATTTTTTAATGGAAGTGGATATGCTATATTTTTTATGTAAATTTAGGAATTGAAAAATAAATAAATAAAGGAGGCAAAAATATAGTATATTCAACCAGATATAAGAAGAGTTATAGAATAAGTGAAACATACTTGTATGTTCGTGAGGGAAGACCTCTGACATTTTCTTCAGGGGTTGATGTAGCAGGACCTGCTTCTCTGTAAAAATTTAATGAATAATAAAAATTAATTAATACTGAAAAAATATGATGATATATAGTTGTTGATGGTGGAATTTAAACCTTAACCATAATACAAAACAGAGATGGGCAAATGTACCAAATACAAGTATTGTATACAATACAAGTACCAAATATTTTACTCAAATTGAATCACTATTGGGAATTCAATCACTACTTCGGTTAATTGTTTGACATCAACTAAGTAGTAATTAAATTTAAGGTCAGTATTTGAGCAAAATACTTGGTACTCAGTACTCATAATTTATCCATCTCTGTTACAAAGCCTGACACAACCAGGCGCAACTCATTTGTGGGATCAAAAACTAAATTACTATAAAAAATTGAAAAAATAATTAACAAACTTAACTCTTTTAACTTAAAAAAGTATTAAATTTGAGTTTTTTTATACATTTACAGAAACACATACACAAGCAAAATAAAAGTCCATTTTTTTATATTTATTTTTTTTATATTAGCATAAAATAACTTTAGAAATAAAGTTATGAAGTTATTGTAGACCCTACCTTTATAAAGCAAACTTTTCGCTTAGGGACACAAAAAACTAGGTTCTTCATTCCACAGATGAGGGGAACAAGTAACTGAAGGTTGATGAAGCAGATAATGAATGGTCAGGAGTTGGTTTAAAAAAAAGAACCCCGTATGCCAGAAATGGCCAGGTAGGGGAATAAAAAAAAAAAAAATTAAAACAAAAAAATAAATAAAAAAATGTTAAAAAAAAAATTGAGACTCCTCCTTGTTCTAGTTATACACACTTTATAACTCGGAACACTTTATTTTCATATAAAATATAAAAACTTGCTGCCCAATTATATTGGGTTGCTGGACACAGAGCATAATGATTAATCTTTAGGAAACTCAATAAAGTTTCTATATAAATATATAGAAATGGTTAATATATGTAAAGATGGTCGATGGCCAATTTGAAGAGCGAAGACGACAAGGGTACTTCGTGCTGCACTTTGATTTGGCTAGTAGCATGGACACCATCACTAATCTTGACCTTGCTGTAGGTGGCTGGTGAGAAGTGGTGGGAGTTGTCGTGCAAGTTATGGGCTGCAAAAGATAAGCAGTCCCGCATGTACATCGACTTTGTTACCTTCAGCTCCTGGCCAATATCCTCGCTCAAATTTTTCATGATTTGTAAGCAGGTCTCTATCATACGGCTCTGTCTACGTGTGAAATTCCAACTCAATTAGATGCAAAATAACCAATCATGAACGATACTGATGGGGAGCTGATCTGTCTCTCTCACCGGTTCGAGCTGAACTCCAAGTTAATTTGTTAACGTTTTAATTCCATATACAAGAATAAAGAAAGAGAAATGACATAGTTTAAAATTATTAACTTATTATCATATGATTTTGTTTTTTATTTAGATTTAACTAATGGCAAATCATCATCTCTTACAGTTTACTATACAACAATTTTGATTTTCCTGAATTTGAATCTCAAATATCTCCTTCGAACCTAAACATATAAATCTAATTTTTTTTGTTATGAACAGCAAACATATTTCTATCTGTTAATGATGGAGATCGTGAAATGTTTCTATGCAATGTATTTTATCAAAGCACCTTCAGGTTGGGAGCAAATCTCAATCTAATTGAAACACAAATGTTATAAAAATATAACTAATGGTTTAAAACATGATAATTTTCTTACAAAGATATTGCATTGGTTTCTGCAGGTCTTATAGGTGACGGTTCAGATATGCAAGTTGATTCCAACACAGGAAGTGCCTAGAAAAAAAAAAAATAAAAAAAATTTCTATAACATCAAATTCAGTAAAATATACAATTAATATGAAAAATGTTGATGTTCATTAACAACTTAATTAAGTATTATTTCTTGAAAAAGTTAACACATGTTATTTCAAAAATTAAGTTGATCAAAACTTGTTAATTATAGCCAATTGTCCAATTTTTTCAAATGCATATACTTGATTCTTTAATAAATTCCAAAAATATTTGGATCATTGATGTAACTTTAAATTATTAATTTCACATTCTCAATAACCAGATTAGTGAATTACTCATAGAACAATGAATATAATCTTTTTAAACTAAATTAGGGAGTGAAAGTAATATTGGGTGTAAATCACTTAATGAGTATATTAAGTAGCACTTACCTAGCACTAGAAATTGCTACAATAAAACATACTCTATCAATCAATAAAGACAAAAAAAAAAAAAAATATATATATATATATATATATATATATATATATATATATAATAAATTGATGTGAATAACTATTACACTAAATAAAAGAAAATCAGATTAATTTATCCAAATTATTTTCCAACAAAATATTGAGCAAATTGGTATATTTTTCACATGATAATAAATAAAAATAGATCTTGTGCAAACAAAACATTATTGACAACTATCTCAAAAATAAGAACAGTATTAAAAATTGTATAAAAAGGGATAATTTGCAAAGTAACAATTCACATTTAAATTTGAAATTATGAAAAGTTAACAACGTTTTTCTCTTCTAGAAAGAAAAAAATAATTAAGCTATTCTGTTCCTTTCTATTATTAAATTATAATATAATTTCTTGGTATATAAAAAATAATATTATAAAGCGAATTCACCTGTACTTAATATTGTAGTGACACCAATGTTTCATAATTTCATGATTTTTATGTACTTGAAGAAGAAGCATTATTTGAGCAATTAAGAAGACATTTTTGTAAATTTTAATTATAAAGTCGAGTTAAAATTTATGCCAATCAAGTAATGAGATAATTCATGTCTCAACTTCATAAATGAAATTTACAAAAATGTCATCATATTTGTGAGCATATATATGCACATATATTACACTGAGCATGAATGAAAACCTGTCTATGAGTGTCGACTAAGAATTATTTTGGGTAATAAATTCTTTACACACAATAAAAAAAATTTTACCTTGTATACTTGGTGATTTACAACATCTTGAGTCACTGCTGAAGCCACAGAGGTTCCTGGTGTATCATGCTGTTGTGAGGTAGAATGCTAAAATGCAGATCCATAAATAAGTTTAATAAAATTTAAATAATTAAATTGAGAGTGAATTATGTTCTCATGACAGGTTGTTTTCAACTAAATTTTATGAATTTAAATAAAAACAAAAGGAGTGAATCTTAGAAATTTAAATGTTTTATTTTTTAATATAGAATACAATATTGAAAACTAACTTTGATTTGATGGGTCCATGCTAACTGCTTCTGAGGAGCATCAGGGGCGACAGAGGGCTTCGCCCTACGCATGTAGTCTGCCAAATTTGGAATCTTACACTGTTTCTCTTCACTGCGGACAATCACCTCCCTTTCAATCTATAAAAATAAAAATATTTTTATTTTCTAAGAAAATGCATTGTATATAAATACTTATATTGATTAAAATTGTTTAGAAAAACAAACAATATGTTAGTAAATATAAAAATAAACTTAAATATATGTTTGTATATTATTGTTTTTTTGTGAATGGGTATATTTGAAAATATGTTAATACAAATTTAAATATATTACATCTTTTTATTTTTATTAAATGGTTTGAGGCTGTGAGATGAACTCTCAATGCACCAATACTTAAAATTTGCTGCGGGAAATGTGATAATATTTTCACGTAAAAATAGAAGGGTCCACATGAATGAATCAAACAATCATAAGATATGTTGCAACATATATTAACAAAAATTTGAATTACAGGAACATAGGACATGGAAAAATACTCGCATACCTACTTTAAGGCGTTAGATTGGTCATCAAGTTGATTTTTCCTATTTTCTAAATTTATTATAAATTACAAATTTTATTCATTCACTTATATTAATTGTTATTGATTTTTATTTTATTTTTGTGTTTAATATTAAGGAGGGAGAAGGGAGGTGAACCATCATCTCCCTGCTCATTTCGAATTCATGAATTTTTTTAAAACAGATCTTAACTCAGTTTAGCCGCTCACAAGTCCTCTTTAGATGGTTTTACCTATGACAAACTCTGCCTACATTTAAAGTAGTATTTGTCTAGTTTACTATGAAATACTCATTAGTTACTTAAATTAAGTATTACTTTAGCTATCGCTTCCGATTTCACAAAAAACGCGGCCTACTTAAAAAAAAAAACACAACTTGAATTTCGTTCTCTTCTCCGGAAAATTGGGCCATTGTTAATATGAACTTTTTTGTTGCTCTTTATGTTTACTATCACCTCTTAACAAATATTTCCCTTTGCTTACGGGACGCTCTGTATACATTAAATTTTTTGTCGATAAATTATAATTGAGAAATACATTTCTACTTTAGAGAGATCTTTAAATCAGGAATCAATCGAAGTTGTTTACTCATTGGCTGTTTTATAATATAATTACTTTTTATATCGTACATGTATATTTAATTATTTTATTCATGGTTTTAAACACTATTTACATTGAATCAATAATCAATTTCATTATTTTACACTTACGCAAGAACAAGACGGTCTTGGTCTTACGTCAACAAACCTTGATCTTGGTCTAGCGCACTCAGTCTTGGACTTGAGCAAGAGTCTTGCAGTTAACTATCAGCTTATTGTTATTTATTAAATATGTTACTTTAAATCTTAGAAAAACGCCACAAAATTTAAATTATTGACCATCGTAAAGTCCAACTAAATCAATAAAATTAAGTATTATGAAACATTGTGATAACCCTCCTCCATCCCTCCGATTACATTGAATGTAAGAGTTGTAGAGTAAGAAAATTTATATATTGTTCCTAATGATTTTAATTAAAAATCTATTGTGTCCACTTACAAGACTTTCCTATCTACTAAAAAAAAAAAAAAAAATACAACTTTAAAAGTGTCCATTAAAAAAACAGAACAATTGAAATAGATTCATTTTCCTAAAAACCGATCAGTGAAATCATTAGGGTACGATTCCTTGGTAGAACAAGCAATGTAAAAGGGCAAGAAACCATCATTAAAATCAGCGTATAAAAAACAACATATACTATAACAGTTAAAACTGGTCCGATTCAGATGATTTTGACAATTTTGTCAGAAATTTAATAACCTTTCAAAAATAGGCTTCAAAACAGGCTCAGAAATGTTTAGATTCATTGAAAACCAAAACCGTTAAGATGTATACATGGTGAGTTATGCTCCACAAAACAATCTTCTTTTCTTTAAAACTTTTTTCCTTTAATTAGCTCGGGAATTCACTGAAAATATGAAAATTTAAAAGACTTTAAGTAGAAAATTACAGGAAAGTTTCATCAAAATCGCTAGAGTCGTTTTTGCGCTCGTCTATGGAAAAACACGTTTTTCTCTTATTGCACAGCCGCTATTGCTCAAGTTAGCGCCCAAATTGTTTCACAATCACGGGTAGTCAAAACCCTACAAAACAAAAAAAGAATTAAAAAAATTTGTCCTCTCGTTTCTGAGAAACCTTGGCACAGACAGGCAGACCAACGGCTGAAAATGTGTTTTTCGGACTCAAGGGGCTCTAAAAGTCAAGAATGTCCTTTAAAACCGCACATCGAAACGTTGACCAGATCATAATAGTTTTCATAAGAGTTAAAACTCTAGTGCGGAAAACGCACAAAAAAAGGTAGTAATACTGATAAATTCAAATATTGTCCCACAGTCTTTTAATAATGAGACGTTATGGCCGGAACAAATATGGAACAAATAATGGAACAAATATCAAATAAGCGACGGGCCGAAGCTAAATATAATTTAATAACGCGTAACATAGTAGTGATAAACCATAAGGCTGCCGGGAAAACTGTTTCAACACTTGACCTACTATAATGTTAATTTTAAACTTAAAGTATTAAAAAAAAAAGAAAATATTATTTTGCTCGCGAAAAGTCTAATAATATTGACATTTTTTGAAATTTACAATAATAAATCTATCAGTTTTCGAAAAACTAGATTTTCAGTAGAATCAAACAAATTTCAAATTTATTAAGATAAAAAACATAAATTATAATATCTTATTTGACATATTTATATAAATTATTTAGAAGCTAAAACAAGAATTTCTAATGATAAAAAAAAACAAAAACAGAATTTTATAATAAGATATCTCACGTTATCTACCATACTGTCATTTATTTTTGTATTTTTATATATTATTTCTGATAATATATTCATTGCTCACATAATAGGGTATATTTAGTAGTTTTGCTATAAAACAAAGAAACATGAAAATCTGATTAAAAATAACGGATTTATAGAATTATGACAAAAAAGATCCATTTAGGGATTGCTCTACGGAAATTGTGAAGCTCATATTCTGAGAACATTAATCCACTTCACTGTCGCTTAGTTCTTTTATGTAGAACAAGGAATCCGGTTTTGAAATAGAATTTAGAGTCTTAAGTTAAGACTTTTAACCCTTTGTTGTCATTTACACAGATTTGATTGTAATATGTCAACATGGTCCTGATTAAATTTCAAAGAAAAAATTGTGTTATTAATGAGTGTATCAGAAAGTTCAGTATTCGCCATTTAGCCACTCAGTTAAAACTTGATGGTTAGAGATTTTAAACAAATAACGAATACTGCGAACAGCGGGCCAGACACTGAAATGTCAATGCAAAAAATTAATTTCTTTCAATTTATGCCTTTGTTGCAGTATCATATGAATATATTCATTCATAAAATATGAATTATTTCGTCAGACTTGTATCTTAACCCTCCAGTGTTCGCACAATCATTTCGAACAATTATACTCGCGGTGGAGCTTTGAGCTGATAATACATTTTCGTGATTTGTGAGTGGATATGAAAGAATTTCTCTCACAAATTAGTTGGCTGAGAAACAATTTTCATTTTCAAGGAGGAAGTGGAATAATAGTAACAATTTTATCTATCCATAACAATTTGGAAAACAAAATAATTATGCTAGTTCAAACAAAATTGCAAATTACTATTCTTTTTTTATTTATAAACAAACAAGTTTACATTTCTTATGTGCAATCTTATTATGAAAAATATATCAATTTCTATTTCTCATAAAAATATTTTTGCAAATTTAAATAGAAAAATATTTTTAATCGAATAAACGATTTTATTTTCACGATATCAATTTTAAAATACAATTTAAGTTTTCTAATTATTATTTTTTTAACATTTTTTTCTAAAACGGACGTCTCTCTATAACGGAAAATTTTTGACTCCCCGTGAGTGTCCGCTTCATTTGAGAAGTTTCATTATGATAACTAAAATGGGCTAGTATAAATAACCATTTAGTCTTATTTTTTATTCATGAAAACGCGTTTTTGTTTTGTTTTCTCATCTTGCTACGGTCATGATTTAACTGCAAGAATCTTGCAGGTCTTACGCAAGACTTGCAGAGGCTGGTCTTGGTCTTGCAAACAATTTGTGGGCTTGTTCACATAACAGTGACTTTGTGGACTTGTTCACAAAAATGCAATACGAAGACCAAGAACAATTTTGGGCAACACTAATCTAGAACGGTTTAGGTAAATAAGAACATAGCTCTGATCCGTTTAGTAGTAATTTATTTATATTAACAAGGATGTTAGAAAGGTATAGGAGATAAACAATAAATCATACCACGGTAAGTGGTCAGATATATTGTTATTATTTAGGAGAATAAAGAGAGTGGCTTTCAAATGAATTTTTTAACACAACATAAGTTTAATACTAATGTTTTTCGAATAAAACAATTGGTGCATTTATATAGGCGTTTATTTCGCTGTAGAGATAGACAAATGAACTAGTTACACTAAACCAATCTAGTGTGCCATGTCTAGTAAATACTTGTTTTAAAAATCTAAACAAGGAATGAATCACTAATCTCTCACTGTGTGCAGTTTGGTAATCTCTAGATAAAGCGCTCTTACTACCCAGCTTTTAAAGTAATAGTAATCAATGGCATCAAACCCAATAAATAGCAACAACTGGATAGTCGAAGTTTCCAACTTCAGGAACTTCAACATTGGATCGTACTGTTATGAGTCTATTAATATTTGAAAAAGGTATCTGTTTATGTCTAAAAAGGGAAGAGGACTTTATGATCGAAAGATAGAGGAAACATATTTGCTTAACTTCTGTAAATAAGATTTTTATGTTACAGGTCTTCAAATAAATGAGTGAAGGCAGTAAGAAGAGTGCATTGACCACTGACCTTGTGAAACCTTCCTGACTCAATGCCACCTAGATTTGTATTCTACGCTTTGACAGCCTTTAACATTTAGATGCCGTCAGAATAGGTTATTGCAATGTGCACGGCTCGCTTACAGTATTGGTTGAAAACAACCATTATAAATAAAATAATCTATTTAATAAATTAATATTTATGATTCCAGATTTTTTCATCAATTTATTTTTTTAATTCACTTTAAAATCTCCTATTTAATAAATTGAAAATAACTTTGGAAGTTCAATAGGTAATCTGAATATATTTCTTTTTCTCGGTAGCGTACATTGTTCAGAAAGCTACCCCTCTTCTCCTTTATTCCGCACTCAGAATCATTACACCCGTATACTCCGGCTACTGCTCACCCCTCCCCCCTCCCCCTTACGCATTTTGACAATAGCACTTCAATAATATTAAATAAAAATAAGAATATCTATGATTTCAGACAATTATTTAACGAAAACACAGATTTTCATTCAAATATGATTTATTATCCCAGCATGACAATTTATTTACAATAGTAATTAACTGATAATAATCTGTGTTTAAGGCCTTTTCTTTGAAAAAAAAATTCTTCCGCAACTTTATTTAGAATAAGAGTAAATAGAGCCAATGTTACAAATTATGCTGTGATCAGTACTAGCCACTAGCGGATCCAGAATTTCATTTGGGTAACATCAGCCCGAAAGCTTTTTTTTTTTTTTCTAAATGTAGTCATTATTAGTTTGGAAGAAAAACAAAGAAACTAACTACCTATACCAAATGGTGTTTAAGTGATTCTTGAAATCCTGTTAAATGTAATTAAAATAACAATAATACTTTTAGATATTTTATCATCTTTGGGGGAAGAGAGGGGAGGAAGGCTTCAGCCCGAAAGCTGCCTCCTCGTAGATCCGGCTGTGGTGATTAGTATGTTAAAAAGTTAATTTTGCTTCATACATTCAGCAGACACTGATTAAATTTGTAGCTCACATTATTGCATTATACATTATACATAGTATTTACCAAGTAATATTATTCCAGTCACCAGGAATCACTGGCGGAACTACGGGGTGAGGGGGGCTTTCGGGATGTAGATCCCCAAAATGTAGAAAATTATTTCTTTTTTCATTAGTGCGAAATTGTTTTTGGAAATGATCAAAGTTAAATACTCAATCACAATATATTTTTTTTATATTATAAATCATAGACAGCTACTCAATGCGTGTTAAGAAAAAATATGCATACCTAAAAGCATTATTATTTTAATTACCATTTATTTTTTTAAATCACACTTCAAGGACCACTCATTTCATATAGTTAATTTTTTTTCGGATTATTTACTAAAATATTTTAAAAAAATATGAATCCGCTGCCGCCAAGGAACAACATCTAGTGTCAGAGCATATAAACTTATTATTATGTTGTTATGTTATTAGTGATATCCCGCAGAAATTTGAATTGATTGTTAATAACTTGTAAATACTTTATTGCAGAAGTTTACTGATTAAAAAAAAAAATTGAGATGGAATTTCAAAACCAGCTAAATCCATATTCAATTGTTCTTATTGTTGTTGGTATTCACTAGATCATCATGAGGTAATCTAATACAAAAAACATTTCTTAAAACAAGGAACAATAAAAATAAAGTGGACTAGTTTTGAAATTCTATAATTCCATCAGAACATCGAAGCAAGTGTTAAAGGTATATCGAAACATTAAAGATGAAATGTAGAGTGTGATGATTCCCTCCTCCCATCACTCTTACAAATAAATTACGTCATATTGGACAATGAAATGGACAGTGTCCATTAATGCTATCATTCCACGCTTGTATAATATGTCTTCTGTGAAAGTTCTCACAGTATCCTTCGAATACTTTCATGTTGAGTAAATAATGATATTAATTGTCGTGGCGGATTTCTGAGGAAGATTTTTACTTCCATGTTATAGGCACTTCACTATGTTAGAAGAGTCGATTGCGGGCCAATGAAACCTTTTTTTAATAACGTTGTTAAGAGATTTTTTTTTTTTTTTAAACTTATTTATTGAAAAATATTACAATCTGTCTCTAGGACATTTATAATAGAGTTCACAGATCACATTCACACTCTATGTACAATAAATAAAATAAATTATACAGAAAAATAATATATATACAATAAATAAGAATAAAATAACCTAAAAATAAATAAATAAAAAGAACACATACACACCTATATACAATAGTTAAGAGATTAAAAAAAAAAAAAAAATGTTTCAGAGGAATATGAGGATAAAAATTAATGATATATATTAAACCGTTTTGAATAACGTATTAATAAGCACTAAAGATTAAAGAAGATAAAGAGAAATGGATTTTTTAAAATTTTAATAATGTTTTTTAAATATAATTTTTTTCAATACCTAACGAGTGTACTAACACAATCAGGGAGTGTTCTACAAGTTACATAACAATTGACACAGTTAGGCATACGACTGTGATAGTGTAAACATGAAGCTCTGGATAATCATACCCCTCTCTTTAAACGACTTTTTTTTCGGGCTGCGATTGTTTGGCAGCTTGAAGATGAGCTGCGACATTACTAACAAATGTTTTTTTCATGTCCCGAGGATAGCTTGGAAATAACCGGACATAAAATTAAGTAATTTAAAATCAATAATCAACTAAGAATAATAAAATTTGTAGCACTCAACAACTTTGTCTCTCCCATATATTCATTCGAAATAAAACAATGTTCAAATGGATTTTAATATATTTTAACTGTAGTACATGTAATTAATCTTGTGGGAATTGAGAATAAGATAGACAAATTGAGCATGATTTTTACACATACGTTTTCATGTTTAAGATTGAATAGCTAATTTTTGACGTAGTTCTCAGATTGCATAATGCTTCTTGTTGCGTGTGAGAAGACCTTTCTTTCCTTAGTAAGACTCCCACTTACTTCAACGCTACTTCCGACTTAGTAATGAAATTCAAAACCAAGCCAGCTATTGTCGATAGGAGGCCCCGTAAAGGATGGCTGACACGGTACAAGCTTTCGACTGTCATAATTCCACTGCGAAGGACGGTCGGCCCATTTCTCATTTATCTCATTTCCAAAAGAAGCGGCACCAAGCCCACACTGCAATATTGATGTACCCTCCTGTCCAAGTGGTTGCCTCCGCAGATGTTAGATACAGAGCGTCTTTCTCACTCAAACTTCGTTACCTTAACTTACTGATTATACCTTTTTCTGGGGTGTACTTATCTCATATCTAAACATAAAATTCTTTGAGAAAGTCAGGAATCGATCCAGAGTACAATGGTTCACTGCTGGAGATAGAATATAAAAACAATAAACCACCAAGAATCGAATTAAGTAAAATTCTAAAGAATCACATCGCTTTTTGTTAAATGAAAATTTAATTTTTGAGGCAATGTTAATACCAAAGAGTCCAAATGCAGCTAGAATCATTCAGTAGGTACTGCAAAGAAATAGATGGTCATTTCTGTGAATCCTAAAGAAGCAGTGAGGAGACATAAGTTTAAAACGTCTGCCAAGTAAGGACTGTATAGCTTCCTCACCGTTTTCATTGGCTAAACAATATCTATATGACAAGGTCTAAATATTTTTTTAAGAATAAAAATTCTGAAAGTGTTTACATATCCACAAGTTTTGTTTGTCAGCAAATACCAAAATGCGAAAGAGTTCCGCATACGCAGATTGATGACTCGGGATTAAAAAAAAATTGAGTGCATACTGAACATGAATATCACTACTGTTAGTGCAAAATGTCATTATTGTTAGTGCAATGTATAATTTTATATTTTCTTTTCCTCTACTATTTTCCATAGTAGTAGATTACTTATATCAATTGCAAACTACATAATGTTAAAAATAGAATAGAAATTGAACACTTTTACACAAGACCTTTTGCACTAACAGTTTATATCACAACTTAATAGGCAGTTTTCCAATCGTAAAATGCCTGGAACAAAAATCTATAGGAAAAATTCAACTTTTTGTTTGTTGGCAGTTAACGTGGCCAATACTTTTCCTCAGTTAGAACTGAATTAAAACTTAAGCCGGAATATAAAACTTTGCCTGAAGTTCACACACTTTTGATATTTAAGGAAGAAATCGAGACCACGACGAGCAGATTGAACTTCAATAGAAATAAACATTCACAAATAAGGCTTTTTTTTTTACTAACTCAGAATAACAATTAATTTAAATTTATTGAAAATTACACGAAATCTAACAGCAGTAAGTGTCGCCAGTAACGTTTGAAATCAACTAAACAATATAGTATAAATTAACTTTTTGAATGAAACCTAAATTTTATAACCTCATAAAAATATTGTATTAACCTAACTCCCACTTCATATGATCAATGCCTTCCATATTTCCCAGTCATTATATTGTTAACAATTATTTATATTAATTTTAATTATTAAATGGAATTCAATGAAATTAATACAAGATAATTTATATATTATTCTCCAAATTTCCTCAAAATCGAACGAACCGTTTTAAAAGTGTAGGCGTGTCAAATAACACATTTTATGATCTGAAAGCGGAAGTATTTTTTTTAAAATAGAGGATAGAATTTGATAAAATTGATTTGGGACCATTAAGACGCCAACTCTAACAGTTGAAAGAAATGTCCATCATTTTTAAAAATTTCAGTTTCAGAATGATGCTGAAATTACTTTTAGACTGATGATTGTACTGTTTTACGACCAACTAATATATTCATGAAAGTGGAAAATAATCACTAACTAATCAGATTTCTACAACATTCATGTTCATTGTTGGATTATCGAAGGAGCTTTTTATAAAAGTACTATCGACCTTTAGATATAGTTTATTGTGACTGTAATATGCTATCGATTTACTGTAACATTTCGGATTTCATCGATATAAGAGTCTGTTATTAGTATCGGAAATGCTTTAAAATGTAAATGTTTACATTCTATAATAAATAGACTCCATAATTGGAGACATAAGACTATGCGGTTTGGAATTTTCCAATTATAATCCAACATTTATATTCTGTCTCTTGGTTAGTTTGTAACTAATTTATATTAATATAGTTATAGAATTATTCAATACATTTATGTGGAATAAGTAAATATTTTTTATGTAGTAATGAATAAGGTGACGTCAATAACTTCATTTTGCAACAAATAATCAATAAATTGACTATTGATTATAAAATAACGTTTTTATTCGAATAAAAATTGCCCAATTCTGGCTTGCATTCTTTTCTTGCAAAGCCTTAACTCTTATTTATTACAAAATGCATGTATTCTTCTTTATCTTCAGGATCCTCATATGATCTTCCCACCCCGCACGAATAACAAATAAAAAAGTCTAAAATACCTTTAAGTAAATTATTATTACGTTTTATAAAACTTGACAAAATAGTGGAAAAGTTAAGCTAACCACCACCATCCAAAATCGGCTAGAAAGATTGAGAGCTGATTTAGCACTACATGAATTATTTTTAATTTTCAAATGGGGAACATGTTATCGAAAATCGTAGAGTGAGTATGGCATAAAGATTTTTGAGTTATTGTTCAGAAAACTGGAAATCTACTTAAGCAGTGAAGTATTATGTAAAAAACAAATAACTTAAGCAAACGATTATTATTAAATTAAATTGAAGAGAAAATTGGTTAAGGTGTTTATTAAATAAAAAAATAAAACTAATAAATTATATTTATTTTTATTTTTGCTGACGTTTCGGCCCAAAGTTCAGGGCTGGTCTCAGGAAGGATTCCCGTAAGACCTTAGGGTATGTCTGATATAGGCCTGAAATTTGGCCCGGAACGTCGGAAAAAATAAATATAATTTATTAATTTTTACTTTTTTTTTACTGTACATCCAGGGGTGCCCATCTCCCCCACGATCGATGGCGCAAGAAACTGTTATCCCCTCCCCCCAAGATATTTTATTGGTCACCTTGGCTTAAAGACATGACAAGCTAAAGTCTTAGAAAAATCGTAGATCATATACAATTACACTTTCTGCGGTCTTTCAGATTTTTTCTCGTTGTTCCTCAGTCCGAAAATTCATAACTCCCAAGAAATTTGCTAGGCCCCCCTCAAAAGATTTGATGGCGCATTTGCGCCATGAAACTCTCTTTTAGGCACCCCTGTGTACACCCCAACCAACCTTCTCTTCTATTATCCACGACAGTTAACCATCAATCGACAGTTATTAAATTAAATAGTAAAATAAAAATAAAATACTCACAGGAAACTTGGAAGAGTGTGTGTGAAGGGAGGGAGCCCCCGGGAGATTGACTTCCCCGGCACCTAAAACAATGAAAAATAAAAATTAATTCTTAATTTAAAAAATATTAATGCTAATTATTAATGATTAACACAAGCTACAGTCTCCTTCTATAAGAGGAGATATTATACATATAAGAGACAATATGACACATGGTAGATAGTGCGATGCAAAGAACATAATCAGCCCTTTCTTTATTTCTTTCTAAGCGTATTCTCTTGTGTTTGAATCGGAAAGTTGCTAATGATCTGCCTAATAACATATTTTGTTTCCTTGAGAACAGTTTCGTAAGCACCTTTTCTCTGAGAACATCATACTCTTACATGTATTTTTATGTAAGTTCTGTCAGAAACATACCATACATTTCTTAGTGCAATCTTTACAAATTATTTTTCAAAAATGTTTTATTTCGGGATGGCATATCTTCGGTAATGAATGAGCAACCCTTTTGAATATTACCTCCTCCTCCCGTGCCTAAAGATTACCAAAATCAGCCGTGTATATCTATGTATAATTTTTTTAAAAATTATTTATTTGTTTATTGATGAATATTACAATCTGTCTCAATAAAGGGCATTTATAATAGAGTTCTGGGAGCACATTCACACCATAACGTATAAATTAAATTTTCAAATTGGCTCCAAGGATTAGATACGTGCCCGAGAAAAAACAGGCACTATCTCTTATGTTTCCATTAATATGACTTTATACGAGCTTCGGTTGAAAATTCTGTTACAATATGTTTTGATTTATTTTCACTAATAATTGTCAAATTTTTTTTTTAGTCTCAATTTTTTGGTTATAACGTTTAGACCGAGTAGACAAATTAATTATCCTTAAAATTAGCAAATGATATATTCCAAAAGATGTTTCTGATTATTTGAGAAACTAATAAAAAGTGAAATGGATTCTATGGGAACCAGCTCGACATCGCACCATCTTTATGCCGACAGCCACTTCGAAGCAAAACTTCAAAAAGAAAAAAATTAAAACAGCGTGTTTTTTTATTTTTCAATGTTTGATAAATTTTTATTGTAGGGTTAAGTAAAAAAGATGTAATGCTTTAAGTGACTTTAATTTACCGTAAAAGTTCAAAATTGTTGCTTCCAATAAATTTATTCTTACAGGTTCCTCAAAGATTTTTTTTTGTCGGTATACCTTCAATGTCTTCGCTGATACTTCATCAAATCCTTATCCTTATTCCCTTACAAAACAAAAAATGTTTTTGTTTTTTTATCATAATATATTATATTTACTTATTTCAATTTTATATATATATATATATATATATATATATATATATATATATATATATATATATATATATATATAGCACAGATGGGGAACCTGCTACATCCCTGAGCTTCTAATTAATATTTATTATTTAGGTATCGAAAATTTAAAAATTAATAGTAGTAAGTTGAATATATGTATATATATGTATATATATGTATATATGTATATATGTATCAATATATGTATTGAATATATATATGAATATTAGTGAGTGTGTTTGGATTTACTTATAAAGAAAAACAGGAACAATAAAGTATAAAAGCTTAATGTGGCCTCCATTATCACAGCCTAATATTACTGCAGCCTGGAATTATAAAACGGTTCTCCATCAATGTAAACAGTTATGACAATTATTTGCACGGGTCAACTAGTAAATTAATAATATTTATAACACTATACAATATATACAAAATAAATACAATTCAGGATATTCGTTCTGAAGACAACAAAGATGCTTTTTGTTACTATATTT